AAAATGTCTTTTAAAATCTATAAGATTTTTTATCTCAAAAATATTTTAAAATCATAATCCAATACACCCCTTTAATGTCAATTTCCTAATAATTTTAAATTTTTCCACGTACTAAACACCCCTTAGGGTACAATTTAGGGGAGGGAAAGATTTTGAAGGAAGTAACTATTTTTGGGAGAATACAACTTGGGGAGCGTAGTAGGGATGTAAATAGGCTAAGCTAAACTTTGACTTAAATAGGTCAAGTCTGTGTAAAAAATCTTAGGACTGACCTGTTTTTTTAGCCTGTGTAGGCCCAGATTACAAGTCTAGCCTGACCTGTATTTAAAAAATAAAAGCCTTGGCCTAGGCTTGTTAGCCTGTCTAAGCCTATTAAACATTCAATAATTAAAAAATAAATAAAATAATATTACTTTATTATTCAAAATTATTAAAATAATAATTTTATTTATTTTATTTAACATAAATAATATGATATAGGCCGACATGTAGGCTTATAGGTCTGACATGTACAAAAAAGCCTATGTTCTGTTTTCTAAATAGATTTTTTTTAAAGTCTAGGTCTGTTCTATTTTATTATTTGCGATAGGCCAAATTTAGCCTAATATAGGCTAGGTCGTAGGCCCCTGTAGGCCGGCCTAACCCATTTACACTCCTAGAGTGTAGAATATGGAGCAAGGTATAAATATTTTTTTTTTTTTGTCAAACTCATTAAAATGAAACAATATTAACTGACACTATGGGTAAATCGGTTCATCCATTAACAACAAATCCTCTTGCAGTAGGATTACACATTTGATAAATAATTAATTCTGGAGGTAGGATCATTTAACACCGGTGTCAAATTTAAAGTTTGACACCTCATCTGAAAGCCGTTAGATCAAAAAAGATCAATGGTGTCACAGACTTACAAATCAGAGTCGTTGATCTTTTTTGATCTAACGGCTTTCAGATGAGGTGTCAAACTTTAAATTTGACACCGGTGTTAAAGGATCCTACCTCTTAATTCTGATTACATGAGAAATTTAATTATAAGTATTCTATGTGTAATATTTCTTTCATATGCAATTTTTTTTTTAATACTGCTGTTAATACGAGATAGAAGTTGAACCAGGCAGGGATACCCACATTACAACTAACGCCCACCAATAATGGCATAATTGTTTAAACATGAGAATACATACATGGAACAATGATAGTTGGATATGTTGGTACACAATTATACATTTTTTTCTCATCTGTAATTAGTGATATCTATTGCAAAGCACAATTGTGGACCTAAAATAATTAGCTAATTAGCTATACAGTACTCGTCCTGGTCCTGTCCCTTTTGGGTAATATTTCCATTAGTTCTGCTACATCCCTTCGATCCATACTCACTTTCTATACAAACAAGAACTACTTCTAAATATTGTCACTAGAATACTAAACTTTTTCATATTAAATTTATCTGCCTTAAAAAATAGGTGAAGGATATTGTGACAACCAAGTTGTATTTCTACCAAGTGACTACCAATCAATTTTACCGTTAGATCGATTATATTGATCCAACGATTATATTTATTTCCATCTTTGTATGGTCATGATTCCCCAAATTTAATACTTTATATTTATTTTTACCTTTGTATGGTTATGATTTCCCATATTTAATGCTTTCACTTTAAATATGGGGAATCATGACCATACAAAGATGAAAATAAATATAATCGTTGGATCAACATAATCGATCTAACGGTGAGATTGATTGGTAGTCACTTGGTAGTAACACAACTTAGTTGTCACAATATCCTTCCCCTAAAAAATATAGCAAATTTATTGTAAAATTCAACTTTTATGCTAACTCCATAACTTTCTTTTTATCACCAATAAATGCTTCAAATTAAAGATGTTTCTAAAAGAAAGAAACTGTACAAACATGACCCGGGTATTGATGGAAATGCAGTGTTTTTTGTGCCAATGTGAACAAGGCATATGTCAAGTTTTTAGTTTCATCAAGTTATAGCTTCATTTTAATTTCAAAAGAATAAAAAAAATAAAGTTATTGCAGTATACAGAAAACCCAATCCTTATAACTTATTTGTGGCTAAGGCAAAATGGAGATTAGTGCTTACTCAAAATGCATAGGAACACCTCGATCGTATTCTTACGGAAGAAAAAAAATAACACAATTATAGCATAATTGACAAGCATATGTTATTCTTGGATTATACGTCCCCTCGTTTCTGAAATGCTGATGCAGAGTTTCAAAGGTTCTCTATTGACTAGGTTAACAAAAAATATTATATTTTTTAATTTCTTAGTACTCAATTTTTTTTTTTGGTAAACTCTTAGTACTTATTTATTATTGAATAAAATTTATAAATTTCAATGTTAAAAATAAAATAAAATAATTTAACGAGACTCACATAAATTTTGTTAATATATATATATATATATATATATATATATATATATATATATATATATATATATAGGTTCGCTTTTTCTGCAGTAAGCTCAATACGACGTCGTTTTGGGATGGAAATCATGGTATATATTTTGTAATTTTAATTTATTTCAGGATTATTATAGTCTTTATAATTATAATTTTTTAATATTTCAATCTCAAAATGACGTCATTTTGATAGTAAATCCAGATAACTTATCCGCATTAACTGCAGAAATACTTTTTTAATATATATATTGACTTCAGTATAATATTTAAAAAGTTTTATTCTCTATTTTAATTTTGCATTTATTCAACAATCATAATTTATTTACAATTAATAATTATTAATTAATATAACTCAATAAATTATAATTGTTAAATGAATAAAAATGATGAAAAGTAAAATTTTTTAATCTTACACTAAAATTAAAATATCTCTCTTATAATATATATGAAAAGGGGTTAACTTTTCTTAGGTTAATGCCGATAATATTCATTTCCTGTATATACGGATTTAGATGGGTCCAACATTAAAAAAAGAAAAAGACACATTTATCCATAAGTATACATGAAAAAAAAATTATGTTGACATAACAATAATATTTTCCTATGAAAAAACCGAAAAAGAAAAATCTAAACTACTAAGTAATTATAAATCCCACGTGTTAGATGTTCGAAATACATGAATGTGTACAGTGAGATGTCTAATCACTTTGCAAATAGTACACCGCAGTATATAATCAACCAGAGCGACATAAATGGACAAAAGCTAATTTCCAATCTTTGCTATATCTTTCGACGTCCGTACCGTATTAGTAAACGCTTCCACACACACTTTGTTGACTTATAATTTAATTAACATTCAGAGCTTTAGAATAACGTGATTTAGACAGCTAGATTTAGTACTCCATCTTAGGTTTTTGTTCTTGAACACAGATTTGAAGGTCAGAAATCAGAATAGACTTGGAAAAAGTAGTATTAATTAAATTCTTTTGGAAAAAGAAGAAAAAGTGGTTAAAACAAGTGAACCATTTGTCACCCTCTATAATAACATTTGAATGGCACAAATTTTAAGCATGTCTCTTCTTTCTGATCGCCATAAACTTTGCGACTGTTTGACTGTGTTTTAATTTTTTTTTTTTAAAACTGTTTTTGTAAAATAATTATGAAAATAGTTATTTTTTATATTTTTTTCTTTTTAAAAGTTAAAAATCAAAACAGAAAACAAAAACAACTTAGACATGTTCTCTAAATTTGATTTTAAAAACAAAAAAATAGTTATAGTTTTCAAAACATTTTTTACAAAACAGGTTTTACCAAACGAGTTTTTTAATTTTTTTGTTCTGAAAACTAAAAAACTGTTTTACGTTTTACAAAACAGAAATCAATCAGAGCCTTTATTTGTTATAATACAGGGAAAAGAAGTATTATTTTGGATGGCATAAGCTTGTGTCATTTTAGGTGTTTTACACAAAGTATGACCGGTCATATTTTATGTATAACGGAAAAATTGCTTTTTTTTTTTCTCTTCCCAGCCACATCGCTGATGTGTAAAGTGAAAAAAAGTAACTTTTCAGAATTACACAGAGTATGACCGGTCGTACTCTGTGTAAATCACTAAAAAGACACAACTTTATCTTTTTAGATGACACACACTAAACCCTATAATATAATATATAATAAGGTTTTTTCTCTCTTATGATCTCTTAAAAACATTCGAAGCATTAATATCTCGCCCCCCTCGTCCGCTACAGAAAGAAGCCAGTAAGGTTAGAGAGATGGGTCATTCCCACCCACTCATTTTCTCAATCATAACACATCCAGACCCTTTACCTTCCTTTCCCCACTCACTGTTACTGTGTGTTTCACAAACACGCGCACAAACATTTCAAGAATTTCTTAACAATTTCCTATATATATAAATTTCTCAAGCTGCCGGAGATACAGTTATCTCCGACTACTAAATCATAACCGTACAAAGATGAATCAATGGTGATAAAAGAAGAGAGAGAAAAAGAAAATCATAACCATTCAAAAGTGAATCAATACATATAAGAAAATAAATAATCAAAATGACGTAGTTTTGGGGTGGCCGGAGATAAATTTATCTCAAAAGTTTTGGGGTGGCCGTATATATATATATATATATGAGAAATGTTTTTCCCATATATATATATATATATATATATATATATATATATATATATATATATATATATAAGAGAAGAGATATTCTCACTATCAAAATCTTTCACTACCAACTTACTACCTATCTAATCACCATTAGATTAACCTTTTCTCTATCTTTAAATTTTTTTTAACATTCTAATGTGATGAGTAATAAATTAATATTGAGAATTGTTGATAGTTAGAATACCGTCGCTCTATAGATAATCCATCTTTTCTTCGTAATTCTGTAGCCATTAACCCCACTCTACTTCACTGCCTTTCCCCGACCAGACTAGTCCCATCCTAACCATTGAGATTTTTGTACACATCCTCTCTCTCTCTCTTCATTTAACAAAAAAAAAAAAAAAAAAGTTAACAAAGTTTTTTTCTTTCTTTCTTTGTTTTTATATTTCACCTTTATGATTCTCTTTCTTATATACTTCTGTGTAAATCCTTGACCTATAGCTTGTTCACTTTGTTTCAGTCAAGGAATTCTCTCTTGTGATCTGCGTATAAATCTACTAAGCACACACACACACACACAAGTTAAAAAAAAAAATATATATGTCAATGGACATGATGGCAACCGAACGTGTTTGTTATGTTCACTGCAACTTCTGCAACACCACTCTAGCGGTACAGTTCTGAATTCTCCTTCTTCTTCTTCTTTTTTTTCCTCCTTTGTTTTATATTTTTCAAAGCTTGTTATTGTACCTTGTTTTTCATCAGCTAATTTGTCAAAATACGGGTTTTCTATATTTATCGAGATCACGAAAGCAAAGAATATTAAAGAAGGGTCACTTCCCCAAGGAGTTGGAATCCATTATTGAAGTGAATTTCTTGACTGGAATTTACCTTAGATCAAGAATTCGACCCCTATCTTATATTTTATGAGAAAGTGTAACTGGGTTTTGCTCTATAACCTTTATTATGCTAACAAGTTCAGCTTTGGAGCTAATTTGGTAAGAGGTAATAGCAGAAGAAAAGGAAATTCTCGAAACCCAGCACCTATCAGCAATTGTCAATCTTTCTTTGAGAAACTAAGGCATATCCTAATTTGAGATGTGAGAAAAGAAATTTGTGAACCAGAATAAGCAATTTCATGATGTTTATAAACAAAAATGCATACACATAAGAAATTGAAGGGTTATGAATATGTAGGGCTATTCCAAGGTATTAGGGTTCTCCTAATATATATGGAGTCCTTTCCCATCTTATTATTTATTTATCAAGTTTTTTTCAAAGAATATATAGCATCCTATGATCTCATATTCTATATGATATATTTATATATATATATAAAGTCTAAAGCTAGCTGTTTGAGTTTATTTTATCAGGTTTTTGTTCTTTACTTTATGTACTTAAATCTTCATAAATAAAAATCCATGTGATGGCACACAGTGTAGTTTCTCTCTGATGAGTGATGAGGGGCGAAGGTGGGTATTCTGTTCATCATGATTTGCCAGTGAAGCGTCAATTTTTTTGATGAGCAAGTATTTTTCACAATTTCAGACTTGTTGCTTCCTTTAAGTACCGATACAGTGTCCTCTCTTTCTTTCTACAAGAACTTGTGTGGAGATTATGACTTCTATAGACAAATCCATTGAAGCACCAGAAAATCCTATGCTCTTTCTCTTCTCTCTCTCTCTCTTTATTTTTTATTTTTTTCCTTTACCTTTCTCACCTTTCATAATAATATCTCTGTTGAAATTACTCCTTTTGAGAAAGCATTATATATATATATATATATATATATATATATATCTTTCTTTCTCTCGTCCTCAAATGGAGATAGATCTTAAACACTGTACAAAGGTGGAGCAGTAAATTTAATCTGATGATATTCATGATGATCACTTTTCTTTATTCATAGCCTGTATCTGTTTGGTAGCAGTAATGGTTAACGGTGCTTCATGGCCTTTATGGTTTCCGTTCCAGTCATGTCATTTTCACTCTCTTTCTCTCTCTCTTTCTTCCTCGCTATGAGCTACAATTTCTATCTTTTATCATCTTGCCTTGTAGTGCATGTCAGCACAAAAAGTGTTGCGCACCCACAACAAGGAAACATATATTGTGAGAGTGCTAACTTTTAAATTAGCTATGTCAGGTTACTGAGACCTTGCTGCTATAAGACCTATTGAATGTGATGCACTCACTCTTCCTAAGTTGGACAGTGTATACACACCTCATAACAGTGTATACAAAAAGTACTCCTAGCTCCCTCATAATGAAACAAAAGATTACTGCACTTACCTCCCTCTCTCAACCTTATTTGTCTTCTTCAACCTTTTTCTTCTGCTTCACCAACCATTTGTTTTCTCCGCTCCATAAGGAATGTGATAGCTTCAGTTGATCTCAAACAATATTGATACATAAGTAATATAATATTAATTTGTTGAATAAACAATTATTCAACAATGAGATATATATCAGCTTTTCTGTTATTTATGTAATTATGATTGAATGTTTGAGGTTTTGCAGGATTAGATCGAAGTTTGAGTCTTTGATTTCCTTGTGTTTGTGCAAGAGAGAGAAGGATTATTATTTAGATTACCTAATTAATTTGTAGCTACTAGGTAGTGAAATTTGAAGTAGTACTATATGTTTTGTTTTGTATTAATCCCAAATGGGTATTGGCAGGTTAGTGTTCCATGCAGCAGTTTCCTCACCATAGTGACGGTTAGATGTGGGCATTGTGCCAATTTGCTATCAGTTAACATGGGAGCTTCACTTCAAACACATCCCCCTCAAGACCCTCAGGTATTTCAGTCTCTTTTGGTTCCTTTTCTTTTTTTGGACATTTTTGTATATATATGACCTTATGGATTACTGAATGAATTATTATACTTATTTTTTTTTCTTTTTTTTTAAATTTACTCTCCTTTTGCTTGGTTGTGTGTGTGTGTTTGTGCATACGTACGGGAATGGATTCTCTCATGTGTGATTTCATATTATCTGATCATATGAAGGGTTCTTAACCGTTGATAAACAAATCAACGGTTATTTTTCCCAACCTTATATTCTAATATTTCTTCTCTTTCATCTCTTATCACTATTCATTTATCTCTCGGTAGTTCAGAATCCTTCGCACGACTTGATCATGTGAAATCACACATGCGAAGGGATCTCCTCCCGTGTATGTATATATGTGTTTATCTTATTAATTAATTTTCTATTGTTGCTAATTAAATTACAGAAACAGCACCTAAGTGTTCAAGAGCCAAGTATCAAGGAACTGGGATCATCTTCAAAATGCAAAGCATTACCGGTAGACCATGAGCAACCTAGGGTTCCTCCAATTCGTCGTGAGTCACACACTCTACTTTTGTTCTCTGTATTTAGTTTATGGCATAATTTCATGATGAATCTAAGTTTGAATGAGTTACAACCCGGTAGGTACAATATACTACCTAGCTAGGCCAGCCTGAACTTTTTCGTCTTAAGGACAAAAAGACTCACACTACTTACTCCACAACTTGTAGAAGCTAATTAATGAAAGCAAGCACAACAAAGTCATCATTGAAACACTTGTCATAATACTCAGTTTTTCATAAGAGTGGGCGTCCATCTCTCAGAGTATCCAATTTTTTTTTGGGGTACAAAGGTACCCATATTGGCCTATTTTTTTTCTTCATCAATTTTATTGTCCCCAACCAGATTGTGACCTTACGTAACAAAATTGACCCATCTTTAATTGATTGCAGTGATGCTGTGCCCTAGAATATATAAGCTTATAACAGTACTATTCAGTTAAACTTAATTTTGGTTGATGTTAGAAAATCATGTGATTTGAAATTGTTGATTTATGGCGTTTATATTTATATTCTATGCAATCTGTTCAATATTTTGAACTAAATAATCTCGTGTGATTAACACAGCTCCTGAGAAGAGACAACGTGTTCCTTCTGCTTATAATCGGTTCATTAAGTAAGTATCACAATTTCGAATTTACAATTTTGAATCAACCTCCAGGCATGTCCCATTCTACTCTTACATGGTGTATATCTACCTATTATAATTGATATATGTGGATGAGTAGAGTTTGTGGTCCCATGATGTTTTTAAAAACTAGTTGAATATGAGAAGTACTAATAATGAAAATGTTGATTCATAGTTCAATTAATATAATCGGTTATATATACAATTGTATATAAATCATTAGCAAGTTAAAAGTTTGAAACGATAGAAGCAAAGAGAATGGGTATAAAAAATTTAAAGCATCATTATAAAAGAAAGAATTCTTGAATTTTTAAAAATAAAACAATTTTAGACAATTTTGGACCATATAACCTGAAAACCACCTGAATATCGTTGGGAAATAGTAAATGGTTTTTTTCTTTTTGAGATTTCTTCCCTAGCTGATTGATTACTAGACTAATCTGGTCGAGCTGGACAGGATCACAACAGTAGTAAATTAAAGTTTTTCCTATCAAGTTTTTAATATAGTTGCGTACCTAAAATTGAAATTCGAAACTAGTCAAGCTGGAACAACAGGTTGATAAATGGTTTTTTTTTATATATATATATACATGATAAATGGTTTTTTAAAATGTTGTTTATGGTGTATTTTAATTACATGAAAGATTTGTGGTCAACAATCAGTTAATTTTTTTTAATAATTTACTCATAAAAATCATTGGTAAGATACTAGTATATTATATATGTACATGTGGTTTCATTCAACAGAAAAAGATAACAAGCCTTTTTGTTTTGTGGTTGCAGGGAGGAAATCCAAAGAATTAAGGCAAGTAATCCAGATATCAGCCACAGGGAAGCATTCAGCACAGCAGCCAAAAACGTGAGTCTAAGCTTTATTACTATTTTTCCGTTTTTTGCATATGCATTCTGGCATATGAATGCATGAAAGTTCCATATCTAATTTTTTCCCTCACATGTATGGATTACACAATAAGAGATAATTTTGTCGTTTATCTGAACTCGGTGAAGGTGGCAATCCAATATCCCTACAATTATTGTAGAAACTTTACCAATTAAACCAACTAGCGCCTTCTTCGAGGCTGCAGGTTAATATCGAACTTTGGTGTATAAAGGGCAACTAATCATATCCTTCAACTGCCACTCATAATGGGGTTTGCTCTTATTTAAGTAATACGGTGGTGATAAATACAAACTGACATGCATGTGTAGTGGAGTTGAGAAATATTAATCAAGCCATGGTTTCCATGTGATAAACGAAATGACAAATAAAAATATCTATTAAATAAATTAAGCTTTGTAGTTATCCGGAAGAAGCATTAGAATTAATGTATTAAGATTTAAGATTGTCATATATAATATTCTATAGCGAAATGACGCATAATCGTATGCCATAAACCACTTTATTTGTTATTTCAACATTGTATAAGCTAGTAGCTTGTTTAACCGAGACAAGGAGTACTGTCGATATGATTAACATATAAGATTCAATATTTTCCTTCCCTAAATGATATTAATTTGACTAACATATTACATAAATAATATACAATCATGTTAATATTATATAGGGTGGTGGTCTTTACGCATCCCCTTTTTCTTACACATTTAAACGTATCAGTGTTCAATAACCGCACAATGTTGGTCACAGAATGAGGTGATCCAGCATAGATAAGTGGGCTTGCATAACATGTGATTATAACAAAACTTTATTTATCACAACTTTCTTCCACTAATTATTTTTTAAATAATTAAAAAAAAAACATTTTGCAATACACTTTCTCTTAATTTTTTTTCCCAAACAAAGTAAGGTTTAAGTAATGGGTGAAAAAAATGATCTGTGAAAACCATTTTAAGAAATCATCAATAGGAAAACAATGATAGTACTTTTATACCTAAATTCACACACTTTCTTTAGTCCGGTCACTTTTGATATATATATATATATATATATATATATATATATATATATAGAGAGAGAGAGAGAGAGAGAGAGAGAGAGAGAGAAAGAGAGAGAGAGAGAGAGAGAGAGGAGGAGTGAGGTTGCTTTAAAAAAAAATTAAAAGGTAATAAGTGTATAAGGTAGGTGTATATATATGTGTTTACCATTTAGATTAGAAATAGTGCTAATTACTGTAGGACAAAGACAAATACAAGTAAGATTTATGTAATGGATTTGGACAAAATTATCCTTCCTAAATAATATGATCATAATGGCTTAGCCAAGGCAGTACGAAGAATATGATGACATTCTTTTAGGGTTGATCTTTCGCTTTACTAGATGTTAAAAATTTAAGTGTGTTTTATATCAAAAAAAGAAATAAAAATTAAGTGTGAATTTTAAGTATATATGTGTATAAAAGAAGTTTTACATCGAAAAGGAATGGATAGAGTGTGAACATCGTAAATGGAAGGACTCATGAGTCTACTACTTTATGTTGAGTTCAAATGTATTGTCATTTGTCAATAGTATTTCTTTTCAAGTTCGATGTAAGTGAATCACCTCGGTAATTGAGTTATTCTAATTCCAACAATGGTCTTAATTAGAGTCAATAATTTGATTCATGTCTATAGTTATGATTTCTCTTAGTCTATTATAAGCAAATCAGCTAGATTTTTGGGCTCTTTGTGTGGACTCATACTTGAGAGAGATAATTTAAATGTGAGTTCAAACATATATGTGCATAAAAGAAGTCTCATTAATAATAAATGAAGTGAAAAAACCCTTGAAGTTGTCAACTTAAAGTTTTCAGTTAAAACAGAACGTTAGACTTACTATTATGATTTCTTTTAAAAACCATTGTAAGCGGATTACCCTAATTCCAACCCACTTTAATGACAACTATTGAGTATCCTAACATTGTTCAAATACTAATCTTAATAAAGTTGAAAGCAGGCTGTTATATTTCTTTAAGTTAGATATAGGTCCTAGCAGAATTTTACGAATCACTTTTCTTGAACCAAAACTTGTAAAAAATAACACTATACATTGTTTGATATTCTTGTTTTTATATACATATGTATTCTTCCCTTGTTCATGATGGTTTAGCCCGAAATTTCATTTTTTATACATCTTAATTTGTACGAGAAGAGTATTATCTTCTTTTTTTATACAACTGAGAATTGAACATATAATTTAATACAACCTATCTAAATCCCTCACCACTAGATCGATCCTAGTGGCCCCAGAAGAGTATTATCTATCACAACTTTTGTGAGCCAATTTGCTGCTTGTTATATCCTATATATATTCCTCTTGACTATATATGGTATACACTGTTATGTTGTACTAGTATATATCCATTGGTACAATTGTTTTTCCTTTCTGATTGTCTCTTTTTAAATGAGTATGCAGTGGGCACATTTCCCTCACATTCACTTTGGGTTAAAGCTGGATGGAAACAAACAAGCAAAGTTGGACCAGGGTGACACTACTCAAAAGTCTAACGGAATCTACTGATATAAATACAAGTTTATACATCCATTATCATCTTGGTTTTTTATGTGCTTGACCTAAATCAATGAAAGATGAGGTTGATCAAATTTCCCAGTCAAACAACTGCATGGGAGACACTCCTGAAAATTAACCTCACCCTCTCACCCCATGTTTAATAGTATTTGTGTTTCCCTTTTCTGGTTGTTAAGAAATGATTGCTATTCTAGTGATTGCATTATTATGTTGAACTTAGGCACTTAAGTATACATTATAAGTTCCTTCTATATTATAATAATGTGTCGTCCTTTTTTTATTAGTAGTAATATATATATTTCTCTTTTGGATGATTAATTAATTGCGAGTTAACATATCAAAGGACGAATATTGCAACTTATTTATTCTTTTGATGATAAGCAATGAAGCACACAATGTCACACCCTAGAGGACCACTACTTGAACAATGTTTTTCTTCTTTGAGATGTTTACCGTTTGGCTCTTTTTGGGTATGTGGTGCTTCACAAAGAGGGACAATCTTTTATCCGTTATGTTTCGTATGTGTTTTCCTCTTCTTCTTCTTTTTTTCCCTCTTTTTTTGGGGGGTGTTCTTCCTTGGAGTTTTGCGCTCTGGGTTTATTTGAACTTTGCGATTCCACAACCCCATAAATAAATAAAATCAAATAGCTGTAATTGTTTTTTTTTTTCTTCCTTTCTTTGATTGATTCTTTTGTTCTTCTTCCTAGACCGTCTTGTTTAGTTAATGCAATGCAGCCTTCTTAAAAGGACAGCATACAGTGCAGGTGTTGCATGCATGTCTTCGCCTGTCACGTTTGCAGAACTTAGTTTGTTTTTTAACCTTTTAAGAAAAAGTAATTGTATAGAAGGGAGTGAATATTGAAGAAAAACCTTAATTTCCCTTTAATCAATTCCTTAGTTCATAGCAAATCACAAGTTTCGTTAAAGCAATATCAAATTCACAAGAAACATTAACTGAAAAAAGACACCATATTTTTTAAGGAGAACATTTTGTCTCGGAATTGAACCTAATTAATGTCTAACTAAAAAGCTAGTAATTGTATCTACGAAGTTAATGGAAGTGATAGCTGGCAATGAAGAGTCTAGTATCCCAAGCCAAAGTCCAATAATATAAATAAGGGTGTGTGTGTGTGAGTCACCTGCTTAGTGGATAGGGTGTGCTCTAGGCACAAGTGTGAAAGCTATAGTTATGGTGCCAAGCCTTGTGAGTACTGAGATAAATGAAGAACTTGTGACCTATTTTGCTAACGGAGACCATATATAGATGAAGTGCACTAGCGGTTGGGGAGGTTGTGCACATAATGCATGGTTATGCAGGTGACATAGTAGTGTTATGCAATGCATAGTGGGTGGTTATATATAGTGGAAGGAAGTTGAGAGAGTAGGGGAGCGGGGTGCTTCATGCAATGGGGATAGGAAGTGGGGACCATTTAACTGGTCCATAACATAAGCCCCAGCCTAGCATTGCGCAAAGTCAGAATGTCGGGATGAAAGTAAAGCCCTTATACCTATCAAATAGTGTTTAGTGTTGTGCAAAAGATATGAATGCCGAAAAAATCCAGATTGTGATTGCTTCGGGTTCCAGGTTGCTTTGTCTTGTTGCTCGTTGCTTGTAGTCGTCTCCAAGTTTGTACTTGCTTTCGAGTTTGAAGGCGGAGGTAATAACACAAAAAGTAACTTAGACATTAACAAATTAAAACAATAATTGTTTATTGCGTACCTGAGTAGGGTGTGAATACCTTATATGATGATGTCTTGCACATTGGTCAGGATTATTCAGAATCATAAGAACTTATGTTCCAGGACCCTTTAGGGATGCAAGTGCCTATGGCCTCGGAAGGGCATATGACTTAATGTGGACTTGAAGATACTTGATGAATGCGTTTTATAATTCCCCTTTTTCCTCTGACTTCCAAGCTAAAAGCTCGGATCTCTCCACATCACTTGTCACATCGTATTGCTTTTGGTTGTGCTGCTGCTATGCCTCGTGTCCTGATTTTAATTTTCCCGCTTCCAAAGGATCGATGCCCAAGGTTCTTTATCTTAAGCAACAAGGGATTTTTAATTTTTCCACTTCCGACTTGGGAAAGAACGGGTGCCCAAGGTGCTATTACTTAGGCAACAAGAGACTTTGATTTTCCTGCCTCCCCTTCCTTCATGGGGAAGTCGATGCCCATGGTCTCGGAAGAACATGGGACTTAATGCTTCTAGCCGTCGATTGTGATTGTTTTATCATTGAATTATGAACCCGGTGGATGTATGCGGATATGTTGCACCCTGAAAAACATAAAACACATAAGCTTGGAAGAAAGATTTCAATTGATTGTTAGAGTAAAAAAATCTATAAAAAAGGAAGAGATAGAGTAATTTAAGATACAACTTGTACTGCGCAAGGTGCTCATTTCTAAATTTGGGATGCTGATGATGGGAGCAATTACTGTAAATGCTATGGATTTCTTGGTATACTGACTGCACTTTCTTGCTTTGGGATATTGATCGTTGCCAATAATTGTTTAGAATTGCTATAACATGCTTCACAATATATAATGCATATGTATTATATGTAGGAACTTATGTTACAAATTGCAAATGATATACTATGTGAAATAATAACATTCTTTAAAAATTTGGCCTTTGGGATTTTAGAATGTCCTTAATACCCTCGTTTTGGGGTCCAAATGATCTAATATCATGCCCAATTAGTTCATGCATTCTATCGCATCCCCACAAAGTCGAGTCTACGTAAAAATGGTTTTATCACTATTAATGAGATATGTACTAGAAAAGTCGCGCATAATGGCCTAGTGATAGGTATTGAACTTAGTGGGTCCTGTATTGATGAGAGATCAAGAAACTGTAGAATGCCTAATATAATTATCCATGCATGTCTTATTTTTATTTTTAGATTAAGGAATGGTCTGACCATGTTTTTAAGGCCTAAAAATGTGGTTTATGATCATGGTTTTGAGAAAGATAATAGAAGAAAAATATTTAAAATAGATAATGTAATACTTGAAATTTTCACACCTGTTTACCCGTAGGTTGTCCAGTGACCTTCATTTTCAAGACAGTGCCAGATGTTCAGTGTGAACACCAACTATAGTGTTAGGGTGACAGGTTTGGAATATGCAAAGGATGGGTTTTATATGGTATTAGTAGGTATAGCTCTGAGTGTGCATAACGATGAATGTATAGGCTTGGTATGAATGGTTGAATGTAATGTGATCGAAGTGTCTGCTCTTAGACACTGTAAACGTATTTATGCAAGCCATCATGAACGGTTATGGATGAAGATCATGGGTCTGGAGCGGTTCTCCTAGGTATAATCGTGTATAGTTACACATATGGGCAATGATCTGGGTTGCTATCCAAGATCCGGGCATACTAATTGGATTCTAAGTCGGATACCATGTCGAAGCCGAATAAGGGATCAAGTCGGATAAGGGGCCTAAAGTGGGTAGGGGGTCCACGTATAGGCCCAAGAAGGGAGATCATCTTCTGTATATCTGTAGTAGGTACATCTGTCATTCAGCAAGTGACACTTGGATAAAAAAAATATTTTTCTCTTCTTTCCATACAAGATGACAGTCATTCTTCATTTTTTATTGGATAGATGTACTGAGTGAATGGTACAGCAGTAGTACCATAGATATTTTTCCAAGAAGGAATCTGGGTTAAACCCGGAACAGAATCCTATCGAAACTTCATTTCAACTTTAATCTACAATTCTATATTGTGTGTTTCATTTACATCGAATAAAAAAAATTATCACTAATGTGCGATAATATTGAAGATAAGTTTATTATGGGCTACTTCCTCTTTCTATGCGTCACAATTGATGTGCGAGGATTCAAATGGAGAATGAGAGCTACAAATCTCTGACTTACGCTGTTTTTTTCTCTATGTTAGAATAACGTCATCATATTATTGTAACGATAATTTTTACATTCTTATGATAAGTTTAAAAACATTTACCATTACATTGAAGGACTTTACATATAGATAAGTTACTTACAACATTGTCAAATAAGCTATAAATGTTATTTTTTTTTATATCTTGTAATTTTCTGATTTTTTTGTAAGAAATAAAGTTATAAATTATATATAAAAACTAAATCTTAAAAAATTAAAAAGTACAATATTTTAGGAATGTTATAAATTTTAGTAAGTATTATAAAAATATAATACTTATCAGAACTTTTACAATGTATACCATACTAGCTAGCGTCCTTAAATTTATCAGAACTTTTCAAATTGCAACCAAGAGGTGATATAGCCGATGACTCGTAAATTTATCATTGTTCTGGCTGGGCAGAATATTCGATGGTACATGCAGATAGAGTTTCTTCTTCCCAAGACTCCATAAAATTACTATTGCTAAAAATTGCTTCTGTAATGTTGACATGAACTATGTTTAACGGCTTTTTGACCCTTATAACCCTTTATTATTAATTAATTACCGATTTAACCTTGATTATAAACTATTTCAAAAATTTAACCCCCTCAGAAAACATAACACTAATCTGTCCATGTTTGACCGTTGACCACCAAGCCTACCCGGGTACACCCCTCTGTACCTGGGTATTTTTTGAAAATTTTTGTCTACCCGGGTAGGGAGGCGTGTACCCGGGTATTGTTCTTCGTACCTGAAAAATTGCTTGAATTATTTACCCGGGTAGAGAGGGGTGTACCCGGGTAAATCTTCGACCACCCATTTGGTATTTTTTCTCTCTTTTTTACAGCTAATGAGATAGATCAGTATTATCAAGTTAAGCATGCCTAACCAATTTGAAGAGCTTTTAGCTTTGAGAATGGATTTGGAATTTCCATACATCAACACTTTACTGCTCATCAAAGCGGTCCCTGTTCGTATCGATTATGATGGGGTCTACTTTTATGTACGTCAAAATCGCGCTCCTATATATAAATGTGGTACCGGGTCTATTGGGGAGAGTGAGACGGAAAGAAAATAAAGACAGGGTTCATGGTACAGAAATTTAGTGTGAGCATGCAGCTTTTCATTTTACTGGTAAATGACGAATTATCACGTTCAGGGAAGACATGCATGGGACAAGGTTTGTGGTTGTGGATTTATACTGTTAACTGAGAATTCTCTTTCTGAAATAATCATTGAAAAATATTTGTGTGCTTTACAGACCCAAAAAAGTTGCAGAGGCAGAGCACGTGATAGTCGGTGCCTCCATATTCAAAGCTTGGAGAAGAAGAGTGCATGGGAGATCCAAAGAGTAATCATACCGGGTGGTTGAAGATTTACCCGGGTACACCCCTCTCTACCCGGGTAAATAATTCAAGCAATTTCTCAGGTGCGAAGAACAATACCCGGGTACACGCCTCCCTACCCGGGTAGACAAAAATTTTCAAAAACTACCCGGGTACAGAGGGGTGTACCCGGGTAGGCTTGGTGGTCAACGGTCAAACAGGGACAGATTGGTGTTATGTTTTTTGAGGGGTTAAATTTTTGAAATAGTTTATAATCAAGGTCAAATCGGTAATTAATTAATAATAAAGGGTTATAAGGATAAAAAAGCCTATGTTTAACACAGTGGACTGAGTGGGCTCTATATCGTCAAAATGCGCATGCTTTATGGAAAATCCAACTTTTTAATGATGCCCTAAATCCAATTGGGTGGTCATGTTTGTCTGGGAATCATCATGTTGGATCTTTGTTTTAAGGGACGCACAGATCCAAGTTAGAAGGGTTGCACCAACAAACCCCCATAATCCCAATTGTATCAATTATACGTAGGGTTTTCTCTATTATTATTATCACACTAAATGAACTTAATTAATTGATTATGTACAAGTTCATATATTTACTTCCTGGATTTGATTTGCATCTACTTACGAAATAAAATATGGAATTTAATTTTGATTAAAATCTTCAAATAAAAAAGTAAGCTTCAGTTTGCAATGAAAGTCAAATTTATCATCCTCGATAAAACTTAGATACTTATTATATATATATATTTTTAAAGTTTCAGCTTAATGTTAAGAAAATATCAAAATAACTCAGAAATTGAGCTATGAAATCTTTTTTTGTTTTCAATTCTCTTGAGCATGACAAGATTACCATCATTTTATTCGCACCTTTGAAAACGAAAGTTGAGCTTTCAGTGTTCGTTAAAATATTAAACAAAAACAAGAAGATTATTAGCACCATTCGTAGCTTTTGTATATATATATATATATATATATATATATATATATATATATATATATATATAGATATATGGTATTGTTTCTCAAGCTGCTTGATATAACTTTATCTCCGGTCACTAAATCATAATCATATAAAGATGAATCAATGGTGATAAAGGAATAGAGAGAAAAATAAAATCATAACCATTCAAAGGTGAATCAATTAATATAAGAAAATAAATAAATAAAATGACATAGTTTTGGAATAGCTGGAAATAAATATATCTCAAGTAGCTTGAGAAATATTTTTGTCATATTTATATATATATATATATATATATATATATATATATATATATGATAAAATCATTTCTGCAGCCGCTTTACGTACAGCAACGAAAGGTATATGGTTATGATTCCCCACATTTAATTTTTTTATACTTTATATGATTATGATTCTCCGCATTTAATGCTTTCAAGTATATATATAACAAATATTTAATTATTACACGTACAGCAGTATTAAAATTGTAAACTCATATATATATATATATATATATATATATATACAAAAATAGTAATGGGCAGAGTTTGAAGAGGAGGAGAGTGTGGAAGAAGAGGTTGTCTAGTGGGATAAGGTTAAAAGTACAGAATCTGAAACGTCAAATCAAAGAAGGAGGTGGGTTAATTGGATCCATGTGTGGCTTGGATCTTGTCTGAGAAAGATGGCTACATAGATGGGTGACTTGACTTTATCTTTCGTTGCAGAAAACAATAAATGAATGTTTCTGACTGTCATTTCACTTACGCCCTTGCCAATTTGCCAGTAGGACCATATACCTCATATAAGAGATTCTTTTGCGAACCAAAAAACCCGGGTGCATCACCCTAGGATAATTTATATTATTAACTATAAAATTTATATCTCTTTTTATACTACTATATATTTTTTATTATTTTTTGGGACATATTATTTATTATGAATTAAAGCGGGTATCGTAAAATTTGCTAAGGACTAAAAAGATATTTACTTTATTTTTAAATTTATGAAATGTAAAATTCATTTTGTAATAAATTTGCATATAATTTAATATTTTGCATATTTATTATTTATATATGAGGTAATTTATAAATACAATAGTTTTTTCTTACAACTACTTTATTATTGTTAGAAAATGCAATATTATTTTGTAATTATTGATGTGATTTTGACCTAACAATAACAAAAATGATCAATTATAAGATGTGGTAAGTATAATTTCCCTCATTTCATTTTTTTTTTCTCTCGTCTGTTAACTTGAGTTTTCTATTTTCATGAGTTCTACACTAAAAAAGCGGGTATATGACATTTCTTGAACACTCTTTTGAAATCATATTTAGTTTATCGCAATATTATTCCACGGGATTTCGACTTCAAAACTCAGATGATATTACTATAAACAAGATGGCGGTAACGGCAAGGAAGGTGGTGATGATAGTGTGAGCAAGATAGTGTTAGTTTATAGGGGTGGGATAGGAAACTAGTAATCCCATGATTATGGAAATATAGAACTATGAAAAAAAAATTATCCAGAGAAAGAATTATGAAAGTCTTTATTGGAATCTCATACCAAACATAATAAAAATATTGAGTAGGATATATCAAATCAGTGCGATTTCTGAAAAATAAAACGCATTACTTTTATTTTCAAAAAAAAACAAATCAGAAATTTAATCTAATTACAAAATTCTTTTTTTTTTTTGAAATATTTCAATCAATTCATCGCTTCACAACTAATCCGATTCGGGATGGGTCTCAGTATTAAGAGTTTAAACCCCTCTGAAAGATGATATTGGAGAAGATCGAATACATACTCTCACCCCCACCTACTTAGTTTCCTAGCTACAATTGAGCTACCGTCATTTTTTTTCTCTCCTTAAATCCAGCTAAAGCTTGTGTACCAGGGGACACATTTATTAGGTTTAGTAAAAAATTTAATTGTGGGGTCCATAGAAAACACTTTAGGGTTTTATAATTCTCATTTAACATGAGAATTCAAATTTTCCTACACACCCTTCGATTTCCGTGCTGACATGGGTCCTACATATAATTTTTTCTAACACCTGGGTCCCACATGCTTTTTATCTCTACAACATGAGAATTGAATTCTCATTTAACATCAGAAAATCAAACCCCAACATTTTAATATGGGAAACTCTTCAAAATGTGTTTTTTGTACTCTGTAGGTTAAAGACTTAAGGCTAAATGCTCTAGGAAGGATCTCATCACAAATCGGAGTGTTCCTTTCCTTTGCTAAAAAAACCGTAAAGCCCACACGAAGTCACAAAAATTGGGTTGTATTTATAAATTATAATTTGATGTTCCTTATCTTTACTTTTTCTTTTTTTTCTTTTTTTGGGATAAGATAACAGAAACCAGCAAAGACCACAAGTGCCAGCAGTAGGTGAGTGTTACCCGGGTGGTGTCAAAATAATAATAGTGCGGCAAATGAGGATCCTGTCAAAGGGGAGCAAATGTTTACAGCTAAGAACCACAGAATGTTGATCAATGAGCAGAATTTGAAAAGTCAGTGGTCCAGGTCTCGCTTAAGGCTGCCTCAAGTACTATGGTACTACAATGCCACTTCTTACACTAAATTGGAAACGAAGGTAACATGACCCATCCTGCTGAGAACTAACAAGTGTCAGACATTACGATACTACTCAAAGCCACTACTTCTGTAAGAACGGCAAAGTCTGCAGTTCATTTCTCCCTCGGTTTTTCCTTTCTTCTCCTTCAATTTTCAATGTAAACAACACAATATTTTGGCAGAATATATCCTTTGTGCACTATCCAACTGAATATTAGCACCAAAATCATCTACTTGGTTTGTACCAATTGCATTGTTTCAACCATGTTTTTTTTGCCTCCATGGTAGAATATTATGGTCTAAGAACGACACCGTTTATGATCTTTAGACTGGTAATCATCTTGGAAGCGTTAAATATCATGTTCCCCCGACACATTACTCCACCATTTATGTTTTTTTTTTTTCGTACTCAGGAAAAAAAAGATAAAGAAGGAAAAGAAAAAACTCTTCATACTTGTACTATTCAATTAAGAAGTAACAAGAACTTCGAACTCTTGCAAGAAAATACCGAAGCCCGTTTAAACAGTAACTCTTACAAACGTGAATTTCTGACAGGCCACATTCTGATTACAATGCCGATAACATTTGATTAAACTGCAGAAGTTTTAAATATCCATCAGCAAATTCAAAATCTTCGTTCACAGTCTTCACTAAAAGAAAAAAATAGGAATAAAAAAATATACTTTAAGAACTACTAATTCACTGTCCAACTCTCTTTATTAGAACAAAATTCTCTTTACAAAGTTAAACAGGAAAAAACAATATGCTTCCATCCATTGGGTCTGCCCCTCACCTCTTGAGTTGTTACTATTTCCTTAGTTCTGCCTAAGTTTTAAAGTTTCCATTTCTTCCCTACCAAAACTCCGACTAGTCTAAAACTTAAAAAGTAAATGACAAAAGAATTCTACCTTGTCAAGTATACTAGCAAGTCTTTTCTTATAAAAAAAAAGGGACCATTGTGGGGTTTGAAGAGGATCAGATGTACACAATCTTAACTCCATGAGCAGATATTTTTTCCATAACTAGATCCTCTTGATCACCATGCCGCAAGGTAGTAATCTTAACTTTGCGCCAAGGGGAACCACTGTACACTTGTAAGAATATGGTGGCAATTATGTTAACAAATGGTATCTAGCTTCAATAGGCTGATAAAACTATATGCTACTCTATCATTATGTTAGTATTTTCAAAAACTCTTCTGTAGAAAAGAACATAGGCAGCTGAAGACTTTATCTTCTCCTTGCTGATGGGATAAACACGGCTATCATCAAAGTCATACCATTGATCAGCACCATGCTACATGAAATACAAGAGCAGAAAACAATGAGGATAGACATTAACAATTGCAAAAATAACATTTTTTTAATAATTTATATAAAATAAAAACCTTCCACGATTTCATAATGATGTCAACCATATTTGATCAACTTATCACAATCTAAGACTGGAGCAATGGTAAAGTTGCTGGTTCGAATCTGGGAAACAACTTCTTTGCAAATATGAAAGTAATGCTATGTACAAAGATTGCCCTCACCAACCCTAATTGGGGTTTGTGGCCGCCAACCATCGTGGTCCTTACGGTTTCATGGTGGGCCCAATATATAATGAGATTAGGGTTTTGATTGTCATCTAGGGTTAAACCTAGATTGGGCCGTCACCCCTAATGGGCCAAGGAAGCTTAGGCCCAATTTATGTATTGTGAATCAAATGTTGATTTTAGTGCATGTGACCCAATATTTAAGGTTTGCAATATGGTTTGTTTCTAATGAGTTTTGCAGGTACAATTTGAGATAAGGATGATCATGGGGCCAAAACTTTTTTGATTTTACAAAGGTTGTATTTTAATTAATTTTGATAAATGGGATTTGCATATCCCGCTAGTAGGGGTTTAAAGGGAAGTGATTTTTTATCACAATCTTTGCCTAATAAGCCAATGGATAGAGGCCTAAAAAATGATAAGAATTGTTTTGGGTTCTCAAACCATTCTTAATATATCATGGACTTTAGTATGTTCTATTCATTTCTCAAAACCCAAATTATATGCTTAAAAAAGAAAAAAGAAAAAAAGTATTCAGAAAATGAACAGCACTTACATGGACAAATGCAGTGTAATGACCAGCTCCCATGCTTCCATAATGGTTACTGACAGCATAAAGCGTGTAATGGTAAGACTTGCCATTCCCATGGGTAATATAAGCTGACAAATCAAGATTATCTACAGGGAAGTCAACATATGTCTCCAGCTTGTTTTTCATGTACCGACTATATTGAAACCTCTTAAGATGAATGACCAAAATTTCAGGAAGTCTCCAAAGATCTAACTTCTTACTAGCTTGATGATGTTTTTTACAGTTAGGACAGTACCTGACATTACAGAAAACTGCACCTTAGATAATAGTAAGATTGGAAGATAAGTAATTTATATAAAAGAATGAGTATGTTCCATGTGTATGACCATCGTATATAGAACATAAAAAACAATAGTTGTATGAAATATTGACACAGCAATATTTTCAGAAGAATGACAGTTTAGCAAGCACGTTTTGCCAGCATAGTGATTATGAGATTACAAATAAGAAAACTAAGAGTTGCTCGAACATATACTAGAAGTGGAGAAATAGGGAGAAAAGATTGATATTGAGATTTAAGTTAGAATGCAAATAAAATTGAAAATAAAAATCTAAATCATTACAAAACAAGCAGCAGCCCTGACCAGCCTTTAATAAGACACTACTAAGGGTTTGAAGGCACTAAGCATCAAAGTGCAACCCGAGAAAACGATAATTTATGGCAATGATGGTAATGCTGGACGTCATAGTAGTTAAGAGCTGAATATAAATGCTGCGATCCTGTGTCTCCCAAACTAAAATTATTTGCTAAGTATACAAAAAAAATATTTGCTAAAGCTTAAATGTATATTAATCCAGTTTAAAATGTCTTCCAGATAGAACAGAGTAGTAGGCATGCTAATCAAAGTATTTTTCCAGATGTTATAAAATGGTAACTAACCACATGTCTTCTGGTCCAAGAGGTTCTTCTTGCAAGAACGCTTCAAGGCACTTATACAGAGAAACTGATTCTTGAGGTCTCTTTGCCAAAAAACCAGACTTGAAAACCTCAGGCAATGAACTAGAAAGTTGTGTGTCATATTTTTTAATCTGTTTTTCTGACCAACATACAAGAACATGCAGCAGCCTTAACTCTCTATTTATTGCTAATGGCTCATTCATTAATATCTTGGAATTCTTGACAGTTCCCTTTTCATCTGTTATGTAAAACTCCATTCCTCCATCTGAAGGAGTATCGATCCCATTCGCATTTGGACCTACACTAGGAGTTGAGACCCCCTCCAGTTCTGCAACTTCCTCAGCTTTCTTTGACACAACACAATTTTCTAAGGCCTCTTCAATTGAAATTTGAAATGGACGGAACCACTTTAGATACAAATTGCGGAGATCAGATCCATTTATAGTATTGCAAAGCCTAGTCACAACAGGAATTCCAAAGGCCTTCCAATTTGGAGTCAATTTCCCATGGATGTACTGCCTGAAAAAATTATATCAAACACTAACTATATAAAGCAAGGAAATCACAAGTGACCATAAAAAGAAGCCCATGTAAAGCATGCGTGTCTATATGAACATGTAAATCCAACCATTCTGTTTTTTTATTGAGTCTGGGGGTATGGGTGTTTAATTTTAGAGATATCCCTTCTGAATCGTAGCAGCATGCTGTAATGATTATGAGACAAGGAAAAAGTTTTATGAAATAATTCAAGCCTACACATGACAGCATATCCTTTTATTCTTCTAAAAGGCCTGCCATGTAGATTGAATTATTTAGTTTTGTTTTTATTTACGGTTTAATTATAAATTAGGGTTCTTAATTTTGCAGTTAGGGTTTTTGATTTGAGATTATTTATTATTATTATTTGTCATTTAGGGATTTTATTCTACTTTGGATTATCTTATTCCAGCATAGAATAAGAATAGCTTATTAGGATGTTTGGCTATGTTGGGTCTATAAATAAACCTTCAATATTGTTACCAAAAAAAAAATAGACCTTCAATATAGACACTCACAAGTTTACCTTATTTGGATGTTTTGCTACCTTAGAATAAGAATAGCTTATACACGTTTCCAGTTTTTCCAGTTGAAAGGTTAGGCTGGACTAGACTGGTTTGAGGGAGTTCAATATAAACTAGCCCATATCACTCACAACTGTCTGTTATTTTTTTTTAAATATAATAATAAAATTAAAAATAAAAATATATAAAGGAAGTCCTTTCCGGAATAAAACCACACCATATTGACTTACTCCTCCATGCGCTGATTCATAAAGATGACCAAAGGGGCATCCCCACTATCTTTCATAAGTCGATAAGCAACTAGTTTGTCAGCATCTCTGATTAAGGATAATGAATCAGCTGGATCTTCAAGAAAACGTATGATGCAGTTGTTGTATACCTGTACCAGAGCCCTAGCTTCAGACATATAGTTTTCTACAGGATTGAAATGTATCAACAAAGAGATTCAAAGTGGGGAACTGACTTCAACTTTAAGTTTAAACAAATAATAAAATATACATATATACCTCAGCTACCAATAAGGTCTCATCAGCCCCTAAAGAGCATGCACTGCTAAGAGCCCAGGTCAGATCTTCAAATCTTCCATGTTTTGGAACAGAAATGGTATATGGCGATAACTGAGACATTCCATCATTACTGCTAGTAACAACAGTTAAAGTCATCGTCCGCATTGTTGTTGAAGGTAGAGGTAATGATAAGTACATGAATGGATCAAATGTCACAGAGACCTTCCTACAAACAGGACAAACTAATGTTGATTTATATTGACCCTGCATAAAAAGATGAATGTGATCCATAAGGTAAAGAGAGTTACCATTACGAAGTATAAGTAACCAAACTAGTTCTCATGAAAATGAAAAAGACAACAAATTTCATCTCAAATAAATTAAGAAAAAATGATAGCAATCTTATAATGGCAGGAGAAGATCACTCTTTAATGAATTAAAAAATCTAGCAGGTTTTATTATTACTCTAACTCCTTTCACAATTAATTGCTATCATGAATTATAATCCGTTTTAGATTCCATAAATGTTCAAGATTAAAAGATCATTTAAAGTTCACAGCATCTCAGTGTTACATGGACATTTTAAATAGTAAAATGAATTGATATTTTAATATTATTGAATCTTGACCATTTATGATGGTTATTGCTCCCGTCTCCCCCCTCATAAAAAACCATTACTCTCACTATATACGTCCCTACACAAACACACAAAGAAGCTAATTATATTTTTCCAAAGCAGCTCGATTATATAATGTGATATTTAACACAATAAACAAGAAACTTCAAGTAAAGATTTTTAAAGTTAGATGACTACATGTTCTTCCCTAATAATGCTATGTATCTGAAGAAAAGTAGAAGTGTTTTGTCTGAATAATACTTTCTTTATTCATTGAGAGACCCAATGGGTCCTTTTTATATTGAGTACATCTAACTACCTCAACTACTTTAATAAATATACAACCACCAACTACATCAATAAATATACAACTACCAACTAAATATACAACTACCAACTACATCAATAAATACTATCTAGAATATTCTACATATTCTACATTCCCCCTCAAGTTGGGAGATATATATTGATCATTTCCAACTTGCTGATCAAATTCTCAAAGGTCGGCTTAAGTAATCCTTTGGTGAGGATATTTGTCGTCTGTTCCTTGGTAGGAGTTAAATGTAAAAGAATACGTTGTGTATTGATCTGTGTCAGGGAGTTACAATATATAGAGATCCTAATGGGCTTAAGTGTAAGGCCCAAACCTAATCCAAACCTAATCCTAATACAGTCAGAATACAGTCAGACTATTTACGGATAAGACAGAATCCAATCATATCTAATCAAATCTAATCATATCATATCTAATATTCTAACACTCCCCCTCAAGCTGGTGCGTATATATTATGAGCACCAAGCATGTTACAAATGTATTCAACCCGAGGACCTCTAAGAGCTTTAGTGAAAACATCTGCTAGTTGATTAGATGAGTTGACAAAAGCTGTCTTGATTTCTCTTGACTGAATCTTTTCCCGAATGAAGTGACAATCAATCTCTATATGTTTGGTCCTCTCATGAAAAACAGGATTAGAGGATATATGTAGCGCAGCTTGATTATCACAGATGAGTGTCATGGGTTGTTTCTGTTCACAAAGATGAAGCTCCTGAATCAACTGCTTTAACCAGATCAACTCACAGGTAGTATTTGCCATTGCACGATACTCAGCTTCTGCACTAGATCGGGAAACAACAGGTTGTTTCTTGCTTTTCCATGAGATTAAGTTTCCTCCGAAGAAGACACAATAACCAGAAGTAGAGCGTCTGTCCGAGGGTGATCCTGCCCAATCGGCATCTGAGTAACCACAAATTTCTGTATTTCCCTGATCCGAATACAACAAACCTTTTCCTGGTGCTCCTTTGATGTATCGGAGGATCCTCACAGCAGCATCCCAATGTGAATCACAAGGGGAATCAAGGAACTGACTGGCCGTACTGACAGCGAAAGAAATATCTGGCCTAGTCACAGTAAGATAATTGAGCTTCCCAATCAGCCTTCGATAACGTCCAGGATCAGATAACGGCTCCCCCTGTCTGGGCAATAACTTAACATTAGGATCCATTGGTGTATCAACTGGCTTACACGCCAACATACCAGTCTCTTCTAGGATATCCAAGGCATACTTCCTTTGACAGATAGAAATGCCCTGTCTAGATTGTGCTACCTCAATTCCCAAGAAGTAACGCAGCTTCCCAAGGTCCTTTGTTTGAAATGCACTAAATAAATGTTGTTTTAACTGATGGATTCCGTCTTGATCACTCCCGGTGAGAATGATGTCATCAACATAGACTAACAAATAGATGCACTTATCAGGAGATGTGATCCTATAGAACACAGAGTGGTCAACTTTACTGCGAATTAGGCCAAACTCCTAAACAGCAGAACTGAAGCGACTGAACCATGCTCGAGGAGACTGCTTGAGACCATATAAGGATTTTCGAAGACGACACACCTTCCCAGGCTCCCCCTGAGCAACAAAACCAGGTGGTTGCTCCATGTAAACTTCTTCTTGTAAATCACCATGAAGAAAGGCATTTTTGATGTCAAGTTGAAGGAGTGGCCAGTGACGAACAGCAGCAAGGGCAAGAAATAGGCGGACGGACGCCATCTTAGCGACCGGAGAGAATGTATCGCTATAATCAAGGCCGAATATTTGAGTAAAACCCTTTGCAACTAGGCGGGCCTTGAGTCGATCAACATGGCCATCAGGTCCAACTTTCACAGTAAACACCCAGCGACAACCAACTGTAGACTTCTGTGGAGGAGCAGAAACAAGGTCCCAAGTGCCATTGGAATGAAGTGCAGTCATCTCATCAAGCATCGCTTGGCACCACCCTGGATGGGAAAGTGCTTCACCTGTGGTCTTAGGAATAGAAATAGAAGAAAGACTAGAAACAAAGGTGAAATGAGGTGAAGAAAGACGGTCATAGCTCAAAAATGTATAAAGAGGATAAGGGTTACGAGTAGTACGAGTACCTTTTCTTTGAGCAATGGGAAGAGCCTCTGGTGAAGGATCCGGAGAGGAAGAAGCAACAGCAGTGGGCGATGAGTCAGCAAGAGTCGAGTCGACAGGAGGCACAGTTTTGCGACGCTGATAGGTGAGAAGTGGACGGTCCTCAGGTATAGAAGCAATAGGTTGCTCATTTGGAATAGAAGCACCTGCAGCTGGCAAAGACAAGTCAAGAAAAGGGACAGGAAGAACATGATCAACCTGTGACAACTGAGATGGAATAGAATTAAAGGGTTGTTGATCAAGAAAAGTGACATCAGCGGAAACTAAGTAACGCTTAAGATCGGGAGAATAACAACGATAACCCTTTTGAAGACGAGAATAACCAAGAAAGATACACTGAAAGGCTTTGGATGTTAACTTATCCTTACCAGGAGTGAGATCATGAACAAAACAAGTACAACCAAAGACATGTGGAGTTAGAGGATAAAGAGGAACATCTGGAAGCAATAGGTTATGAGGAATGTCATTGTTGAGCACAGATGAGGGCATGCGATTGATGAGAAAACAAGAGATGAGTACAGCATCTGCCCAGAAGTGAAGGGGAACCTGCATATGAAGAAGAAGGGTACGTGCAGTTTCAATGAGATGTCTGTTTTTACGTTCAGCCACCCCATTTTGTTGTGGAGTGTGAGGACAAGTAGTTTGATGTAAAGTACCTTGTGTGGCCAAGAAATTAGAAAAATCAATAGAAACATATTCCTTAGCATTATCACTACGTAGAATACGAATAGAAACACCAAATTGAGTATGAATCTCAGTATAAAACTTTTTATAAATGGAAAATAACTCAGAACGATTTTTCATTAAATAGACCCAAGTGCAACGGGAAAAATCATCAATAAAGGTAACGAAATACCGAAAACCTAAAACAGACAAGGTACGACTTGGACCCCAGATATCTGAATGAACAAGAGAAAAAGGGGCATCAGCTCGTTTATTGACTCGATTGGCAAAAGAGGAACGTGTATGCTTCCCTTGTTGACATGACACACAATCTAAAGACTGAAGACCGGATAAAAGAGGAACCATTTTCTGCAACTTCGAAAGACTTGGATGACCGAGGCGACTGTGGATAAGTTGTGGAGATTCTGTGAGAGAGAGTGCCACTGAAGGACGAGGCACATCCAGATAGTAAAGCCCCCGTGACTCACGACCCACTCCAATCATTTCCCCCGTACCCGGATCCTGCACAGAAACAGAATGGTTAGAGAAAGTAATGGTGCAAGTGAGGGAGTGGATCAACTTACTAATAGAAATTAAGTTATAAGGGATGCCAGGAATGTAATAAACAGATGTCAAGGCCAAGGTAGAGGTCGGACGAGCTTGTCCAATCCCACGAACTGGGGCTTTGGTTCCATCCGCAAGGGTAAAAGAAGGTAAATGATCAGAATAAGTAAGAGATGTAAAAAGTTCCTTATTACCACAGAGATGATCGGTAGCACCTGAGTCAAATATCCAAGTGCCAAGTGATGTAGAATGAGAAACACAAGCAACGGGATTACCAGTATATGGTTGAGACTGAGGAGAAGCTTTCTTGAGAAGAGTTTGGAGTGCAGCATAGTCCGCAAGTGAGAGAGAAACTGAACCAAATGATGCATTGTCTGACTGAGCTATATTCGCAGCAAGAGAGGTAGAATCCTTCAGTTTGGAAGATGTAATGAGCCCAATATTAGTAGAGATGATTCCTGAGGAAGTTTTGACAGGAGGACAAGGAGAGTTAACCTCCGAGAGATCAGTGGACGCTGCTGCCATTTAAAAACAGAATATAAAAGCCGTAAATGAAGGCAAACGATATCCAATCAAGGAGAACCACGCGTCTAAAGTGAGACCCACAAAGAACCAAGCACAGATCCAGAAAGAGGAGAAGAAGGCGAGAAGTTCTGTCCAAGAACGGCCGGAAAAATCCACCGGAACAGTGCACACGCGCCGGTTGAAGGTGGCGCGTGAGCACCACGCGCAGAGGAAAAGAACAGCGCGTGGAGGCGCGTTGATGACGCGACGGTGGTCGGACCACCACAGAACTGGTCGCCGGGATGAGACGGTCCTGATCGCAGGTAGTCTGGGCTGAAAACTCGCCGGAACAGTGCTCTGGTGGCCGGAACAGTGACGAGCGGCGGTTGTTGGCGGCCGGAAGTGGTTCCGGTGGCCTGAACAGTGACGAGCGGCGGTTGTTGGCGGCGGGAAGTGGTTCTGACAGTTGAAGAAACAAGCCGGAGAGACACACGGCTTAGAGAGAAACTCGCCGGAAGAATGCACGGTAAAGTAGAAGAGAACACCTAAGCAGTGGGCTTAGGGTTTTAGCGGAAGCGGATCCCCAGAGCGAAAAAGCTCTGATACCAAGTTAAATGTAAAAGAATACGTTGTGTATTGATCTGTGTCAGGGAGTTACAATATATAGAGATCCTAATGGGCTTAAGTGTAAGGCCCAAACCTAATCCAAACCTAATCCTAATACAGTCAGAATACAGTCAGACTATTTACGGATAAGACAGAATCCAATCATATCTAATCAAATCTAATCATATCATATCTAATATTCTAACAGTAGGTATATATGTCAAGCATACACTACCGTCTTCTAATTTCTCTTTGATAAAGTGACGATCAACTTCCACATGTTTTGTTCTGTCATGATGAACAGGATTTTGAGCAATGCTGACAGCAGCCTTATTATCACAATATAATCTGATAGGTAGGGAATAAGAGATCTTCAACTCCTCCAGAAGCCTTCGTAACCAAATTCCTTCACAAATACCATGGGCTAGAGCCCGAAATTCCGCTTCTGCACTGCTTCTTGCAACAACAATTTGTTTCTTACTTCTCCAGGTCACAAGGTTTCCCCAGACATAAGTACAATATCCTGAAGTAGATCTTCGGTCCATTGCAGAGCCAGCCCAGTCTGCATCTGTATAGATTTCAATCATCCTTTTGTGCCCCTTTTTAAAGAAAATTCCTCGACCAGTGGTATTTTTGAGGTATTTGAGAATTCTATAAACAGCACTAAGGTGTTTTTCCTTAGGAGAATGCATGAATTGGCTAACCATGCTCACAGCAAAAGCAATATCAGGACGAGTGTGAGACAAATAGATTAATTTCTCCACTAGTCTCTGGTACTGCTCCCTATCAACATCTTCCCCGTCCTCAACTCCCATCTTGATATTAGCTTCAATTGGAGTCTCTGTCGGCTTGCACCCAAGCATACCTGTTTCTTGCAACAGGCCTAGAATGTATTTTTTCTGAGTTAAAGAAATTCCTTCCTTACTCCGAGCAATTTCCATGCCAAGGAAATATTTGAGAGATCCAAGATCTTTTAGTTCAAACTGGTCAGCTAAACTTTTTTTAAAGAGGTTATCTCCTCGCTATCATTACCAGTGACAATTATGTCATCAACATAAACGATCAGAATAGCAATTCTTCCTTTGTCGGAGTGTTTAAAAAATAAAGTGTGATCAGTCTGAGCTTGGGTGAACCCTCTTCCCTTAACAGCTTGAGTAAATTTCCCAAACCATTCTCTCGGAGATTGTTTAAGTCCATAGAGAGACTTCTGCAACTTGCACACAGAACCATCCCCTTTTTCAAAACCAGGAGGTGGATCCATGTAAACTTCCTCATGGAGATCACCATTCAAGAAGGCATTCTTAACATCTAACTGTTGCAATGGCCAATCAAGGTTGGCGGCAAGAGATAGCAGAACGCGGATAGTGTTAAGTTTGGCAACAGGAGCAAATGTCTCCTGATAATCTATCCCATGAGTCTGAGTAAATCCCTTAGCAACTAATCTGGCCTTATACCTATTGATGCTATTGTCTGCATTGAATTTTATTGTGAACACTCACTTGCAACCAACAGTTTTCTTTCCTTTAGGTAATGTCACAAACTCCCATGTTCCATTTTTTGTGAGTGCATCCATTTCTTCTAATACTGCATTCCTCCATTTTGGGTCATCAAGTGCTTCTTGGATATTTTTGGGTATCCTGGTACTATCTAACATAGTGTTGAAAGCACGAAAACCTGGAAACAACTTTTCATATGAGATATAATGGGAAATAGGATGAGCAGTGCAAGATCTAGTACCTTTCCGAAGAGCAATAGGCATATCAACGTTGGCTGTACTAGTACATTCAAGTGGGTTACTGGAACAAGGACTCGAGTCAGGGTCCTGGCAGTCTAGAGTATCTTCATGTGTTTTGCGCCTGCTGTAAAATTTTCCCCATTTACCAGGAGGATCATTAGATTCAGGTATAGTTGCTCCCCTTGTTTCCTTCCCAATAACTCCCCTTGTTTCCAAAGGCCAAGGTAAGACAGGAGCATCATTTGGTTTCCCAGGCTTATCTTCATCCATACCAATACCAATAGACTCCCCCTGAAGAGAAGTCGGGGAAAAAAAGGATTGTGTCTCATAAAAGGTAACATCCATGGAAACAAAAACCTTGCGGAGAGAAGGTGAGTAACACTTATAACCTTTTTGATTAGGGGAATATCCTATGAAGACACATCTGATGGATTTAGGGTCAAGTTTGGACCTTTGATGTGGAGGAATATGCACAAAAATCACACAGCCAAATATTTTGGGAGGAAGAGAAGAAGGAGCACAGAAAGAGGGAAAAGATTTAGTAAGACAGGATAAAGGAGAATGAAAATTTAGTACCCGAGAAGGCATCCGATTAATGAGATAACAGGCTGTCAAGACGGCTTCCCCCCACAGATATTTAGGGACATGCATCGTGAATAAAAGAGCTCGAGCAACTTCAATTAGATGTCTATTTTTCCTTTCAGCCACCCCATTTTGTTGAGGGGTGTTAGGACAAGAACTTTGATGAATAATTCTATGCTGGTTTAGGTAATCTCCAAGAACTGAATTAAAATATTCAGTACCATTGTCTGTTCGCAGAATTTTGATAGAAGTCTGAAATTGAGTTTGAATCATAGCATGAAAGTTTTTAAAAGTGGATGTTGTCTCAGACTTATCTTTTAAGAGATATATCCAACATACCCTAGAATGATCATCAATGAAAGTAATAAACCAACGAGCACCCGAGACATTTTTTTCACGAGCAGATCCCCAAATATCACTATGAATCAATGTAAAGGGAAAAGATTCATGATATTTCTTAGGAGAATAAGTGACACGAGAGTGCTTTGCAAGCTGACAAATATCACAAAGAAGGGAACTTGGCTTTTTATTAATAAATAAGTTCGGCAATAACTTCTGGAGATAAACAAAATTTGGGTGTCCCAACCTACGATGCCATAACAAAACATCATTACAGTCATCTGATAAACATAGAGAGTGGTTCGAAAAAATCCTCTTTTCACAATGAACATTTGTAAAATAGTAGAGCCCTTCTTCCTCTTTAGCACTGCCAATCATCATCCTCGAGTCCTGTTCTTGAAAGATACAAGCATTTGCAGAGAACTTAGCAACACAATGCAACTCAGCAGTAAGTTTGCTAATAGAGATGAGATTACAAGTAAGAGAGGGAACATGAAGTACTGAGTTCAAAATAATATGCTCAGAAAGTTTAATGGATCCCTTTCCCGCAATAGTGGAGAAATTCCCATCAGCTGTTCTTATTCGTGACGGGTTATAGTAAGGGGTATAGGAGAAAAATAAGGTTGCATTACCTGTCATGTGATCAGAGGCCCCTGAATCAAGGATCCAACGATTACTACGTTCAACATGGAATGCCATACCTTTTTTAGCAACATGACTAGTTGCCTCAGCAGGTTGAGACATCAATTTCTGAAAAGACGAATTTTCAAAATTTTCAGCGTCCATGGTTTTCTAACAACAGGTACCCAGAAAAAAGTTCCTCCAAATACGATTTTGACCCTCAAAACAGGAAGAGGGTTGCTCGCGAAAATCAATGAATGAGAGCAATCTTGGCTACAGTGAAATAGTAATTGCTACAGTAATGAACAGTACTGCTACAGTAATGAACAGTACTGCTACAGTAATGAACAGTACTGCTACGGGTCTTCTGTGGGCTGGCTCAGAATCTTGTTCTGAACCTAATGGTGGCCTTGGTTTCGTGGTTAGAGGTGTCTAGGTAAGGATTCTGGCTTGGGCAGTGGCTAAAATGAAAAAAAAAAAAAGAATAGGAAAATGACTTAAAAATAAATCAGAACGGGGAAGAGACTGGAATATAACCAGCTCTTGATACCATGAAGAAAAGTAGAAGTGTTTTGTCTGAATAATACTTTCTTTATTCATTGAGAGACCCAATGGGTCCTTTTTATATTGAGTACATCTAACTACCTCAACTACTTTACATCAATAAATATACAACTACCAACTAAATATACAACTACCAACTACATCAATAAATACTATCTAGAATACTCTACATATTCTACATTATGAATTCATCAAAATTCCCTGTTAGATTATAGACATCAACTAAGCAGTAATTTCTTGAACTCGTTAATTTAGAATGACAGACAGACATGAGAACCTGTTACTTCCGGTTATAGCAAATCACTTAAAACACAGGTTTCAACACTTTAAGTAATAATTTTTACTACACTTATAAATGTTTGAGTAAATCATAAATATGCTATAGAAGATTCGATAAAGTACTACATCATAACCACCAAGAAACTGTGAGGTTCTTCACATCATGTGTGCGTAAGTAATTAATTCTGCAAGTGCATACAATGAGATGAGTACATACCTGGCACACATCAACAATGACAGAATCATTGCGAGCCAAATGATTATGCCAGTATTCATCAGCAACCTCTTCATCTGGTCGATCATCTCCATCCTTGGCTTCTATATAAGGCTTACATTTAACACGATTCAGATCTTCATGAAGTCCATCCAATAAAAAAGCAAGAAGCTCCTGTTGAGAAAGATAAATACATACATACATACATATATATATATATATATATATATATATATATATATATATATATATATATATATATATATATATATATATATATATATAGACAATGTATGGAACATAAGACATGAGCCTTGTAAAGCCAAAAAACCTAAGTAAACATAGAATGAAAAGGCCAGATGTACTAACTTGGGAATCATGCTGATTAAATCCACTAAACTGAGGTGCAAATCTAGCAAGCTTTGATTTGAACACTCTTGGTGCCACTGGACTGGTTCCAGGAGCCCATAACTTCCTAAGTAAATCTCCAAATGCCAAAGCTATCTCACCCTGGCAAAGAAGCAGATATCATGAATACAAAGTGAAAAACATCATACGCATAAAAGTTCCCAGCCATAGAATTTCTTTAGATATCAAGCTAATAAATTATATGCAGCGGATAAAATGATCACATACATTCATGCCCAATGGGTTATCGTGATTGATTTCTCTACCATAATCTTCCAGAAAATAGTCAACAAGCTTTGGCGTATGTGCTAAGCACTGGAGGGAACTGTTCATGAAGCAAGTATTTCCTAGGTTATGTAATCCAGTTAATCCCAAGGAACCAGCTTCACCAGGGCCTAAAGAGAAGGTCAAGGAATCGGTATGCATACAATCAGAATTCATACTGTCAGCAGTGCCATTCATCTTCAGTGAAGCACTGCCAGAAAAACTAGCCATCTCATCTTTTTTCCCCTCCCTACATCTCATTGAGTCTGACAACCCATAAACTTGCAACTCCAGAAGAATCTGTATACATTCACAGATAACATTGATATAACACATAAGGCAATCCAATCATAGCCAATGATTCAGAAGGTAAAGTCATTACCATAAATTTTAATAAAAAGCCAAAAGGAATACTCAAGACAAGTTATTTAGAATAAAAAAAACGGTAACAAATAAAGACTGAAAGAAATTTAAGTTACACTTGATGCATAATCAAATACAAGAGGCTACCAACTTCCAAGATATTATGCTTATCATTCAAACCTAATGTTTTTGCATCTACAAGCCTAATGTAAAGGGTCAATTCTCAGCAAGGGTATACAATTGACAATAAAGTTAGGAAAAAAACAAAAAGTCAAAAGTTAACAATGAGAAATACTCTTGTGAGTATAAGAGGAGAAAAAGAAGCAGCTTCTTTACAAAAACTGCAGTAAACATCAGTCCACAACCAAACTAATATCTAATCACATGTAAATAAACCCAACCATAAACATTTTGCCTTGCACATTAAATGAATAGCGTTGGCAATATAGCAATATCTAATATTGACACAAATCACATGCACATAATAACATTTTTCCAAAGCTATCAAAGTCATGTCATAAATACAAATAAAGGACACCAAACAAGAATCGCAGGGAGACGAAACATGGTGCATGTCATGTACAAGAGGATTTGTGTACTAAATCTTATGCCATTCATTTTCGATAAATTATAAAAATAGCCATTCAAGTATCCAACAGTCTTAATATGCAAAAACCGTAATCTTAGATAACTAGCATGCTAGGTCACCAAAGGGTTATGGCACATAACAGATGCTCATCCCTGACACTGGGAAACGGAAAAATTTATAATCATATTCTGACCTACAAATATACTTAAGAGTACAAGCAGAAAAACAAAATTAATCAAAACTTAATACCACTTACCTCCTGATCAGACTGCCTTTGACATTCTATTGGGACCTGATTCTTGTCATACATAGAAAACAAGGTTATCTGACCTGAAAAGTCCCAAATGCGCAACTGTGCAATAAAAAGTTAAAAAATTGTCAATTTCTTGCAGTAACAGTAGAATTGTCTATATGTGTGTGTTGGGGGGTGGGGGGTGGAGATAAGTAGAGCTGTAAATAAAATAATAAGTTACCATCTCTGAATCCACACAGAACATTTTGCAGGCTCTCTTAAAGAGCTCAACTGTATTGTCCTAAAAGAACAGAATAAATTGGAAGAGCATATTAGAATTTCAATAATAAGATGATAGTGAACAAATAAAAACCACGATTCCTTAATGATTTATGAATATAAAAGGACTCATATTAGATCAAATTATCCAAAAATGAATATATGTTTCTGTCATGTTTAACATTGTTTTGAAAAAACTTCAGGTCTTAGACCCATCCAAACACCATGATGCACCAATCAGACATGATTGACAATACAACTTCCCAATAGTTCATGAAAAAATTTAACTACAAAACAAATGATGCCAGTCAATTCAAATACTAAATGAAGAATGCTAAAAGAAATTGGAGGGAAAAAAAAGAAAAATCCTAGCTAAGAGAGAGAGAGAGATACCTTTTTGCTTATTCTTACACCAAATGAATTTGTTTCCCTCTGAACAGAAAGCCTGAGCTGTAAGGGATATACCTCTGCCATATCACTGTCGGTAGCTGAAAAACCTTTGTCATCCTTCATTGTATTTTTCGAATCACTGTGCCTAAATGAAATATCAAAGCATGTGATAATGGAGATAAAACAAAATAAATATTCTGGATGTCAGAAAACTTTCATTACTTGCATCAAAAAAATGTGAACTACGTTTATTGCAAGTCAACATTAAAAACTAATACTATACATATCATTCACAACTGGAAATCCTGTACATGAAGTATAAATATTCCAATAAAACAAAAACATATAAATATGCCAATTCTTTACAAATACGAAAGGCAGTAATATGATCTACATTATGAATCAATTTCATCAAATTTATGAATCATTAATATTCTGGTTGTTTTTGAGTTCCAGGGTTATACGTATTATAGCATATGGTACCATCAGGGGGAATGAGCTACCAAAACTGGTATAAGTAGAACAGCTAACATAGAAGAATAAATACCCAAAATATTTTGGGAATCCATACAAAATAAAATTACTCCACTAGGCTTCTCATCCATTACATCCGTCTCTAAACGTGACAAATTTGGTTAACTATAAAACTTTTTACGAGTGGCAGTAAGTATACTTAATCTTGCACTTTCGAAAGAAATCTATCACTAATATGAAAAGTAAGCATAGACATGCCCAAACGTTATCAATAAGACTCTACAAGGTGTAGAGAAGTTCTAAAATCCTTGCAAACATTCCCAAAGAAACATATATTAATTAACATTAAACAAAAAGTAAAGCCCACCATGTCATAGAAACCAAAGAAGGATTGAAACGGCTATAAAAAATAACAGGAAATTCTGACTACCAGCATCAAACACATCTATTTCTGGCATAACATCAAGTAAAAACCCCAATTTGGTTAAATAATTAATGGACTCATATGCTAAAAATTCAAGCATGAAAAAAAGGTAGAATTCTTTTGCCACAGAAACAAAAAAATCTATGCTGGTTGTGTGTCCAAGACTTGAAAGTGTTTGACTTTATTTAAGTTCTGTAGACAACATGGTTATTTTAAATCTATGGAGTGAGACAATTGTTAAAACTAGCATATGCACGTAGACATGGCATGGCACAAATCTATACCGTAAATAAGAAAAGCTAGGAGAATTTCAGACAGCACAAAGTACCAAGCCAGCTATCTAAATTCACAAAGCTATGGGATCCAAACCACAGATTGAAGCCAAAAAGTTGCATCAGTGCACATTCTAACTTAAATCTCATAAAGTTTAAGTTGCCATCTTTGATCATGCCCGAGTTTACAAGAGAACAGAATGGGTAGGGGTCAGATTTCTTTAGACCACTCACCACTTGAGTGCCTGCAACCACATATCCCCAGATACCAAAGCAAAGTCCCGGCCAGATACACCCACTTCGCCATTTTCACTATTCTGCTGTGAATCTTCCTCCCTCCTAAGATTGAATACAAGATCTGAGTTGAAGATATTATTGATGATCTTCATAGGACCAGCATAGGATGAACCAGGCAAAGAGGTATAAACAATCCCCTTCTTCTTATCAAAATCAGCAGGCATTGAACCCTGAGCATGCTTCCACCACCTGAAACACACAAAATCATCCTTCGATGCCCTTCATAAATTCAATCATTTTCTCCCAACCAATGCATACAAGCCCAGATCACAGAAAAAAAAAACCGAAGCAAAGCATACAAAACCAACACGCTAGCTGGTTCAATTAAGTGGTGAAAAACAAACAAAACACAAAGCTGATGCATAAGGAAATCGAATTGAATCTCGTCTTGATCATTTCAACCCTAACGAGCATTGTTAGTATTGTTGCTTTCACTTGTTGGGATTTATAGTGTGAAAATAATTGAAAGTGAGTAATAGGTTTAGGTAAAGTTAAAAATGGTGAGAATTTAATTGAATTGAAGTGAGAATTCTAGGAATCTTGAGAAGGAAGAGACCTGTGAGGAACGAAATAGACTCGTTGGTCCTTGTGTGAGTCCGGTCGTTGAATGTCATCGGAGCATTCTTCGGAGGCACAGTCCATTGCGCAGAGAGAGAATGAGAGAGATTTAGAATTTGCTTCGAAAAAATGCAGATTTTTTATAGAGAGAGAGAGAGAGAGAGAGATGTTGAATAGCTTTTATGTGAAGATGGATTACAAGGAGGGAAAAACATATCATACGTTTCATAAATTTATGTACAGCTCATTTTGTTTGCAAATCTGAGCATTGTGATTATTATATCAACTTCATTTTCAAAACGATAATTTTCTTACATTAAAATAGGGGTTTTATATTTGCTATTAAACTTTATAATATGCATGTATTTGTAATTTTAAATTATTAATATATTGCCAAAAGTCAAAACTTGAAGTTAGTTTCAATTAATATTTCTACCAATATTAAAGATACCGAGTAAGGAACATGCGTTACTCTTTATCAATGTTTCTAATCGGCCAAAAAGATAAAAGCATTAATATTTATTTAATTTCTAACGTAATAAATGTTTTACTTTTTTTTGTATTTTTTACTTTTATTGCCTTAATTAATTTATAAGGACACTAGTTGAGAAATTCCTTAAAATAATTTAAAAGTTATTGTCATACTATAAAGATATTTTTGTTCATAAATACCCTTGAATCATTGGTTAATGAGTTAAAAACCGTTTAATTTTTTTTTATTATAAGTCAAAAACATTTAATATATAATATTATCCAAAAAAATATTTATTATTTTAAAACACATAATTTTCTGTCATTTTAATTGAAATGATTATGTTTTAGTGTATATTTAGTTATTTTTTTTAAATTTTCTCTTTCATAAAATTAGAAGGAGAGGAAAAGAGAGAATATTCTAAGGAGGGAGAAGCTAAAAAAATCACCAAAACACTCATTTCAATTAAAATGATACAGAATTGTATTATTTAAAGTGATAAATATTTTTTCCTAATATTAAATGTCCTTTAAAAATCAGTTATTTGAGAAGCAATTTGATAGAATGATAGTTACTAATCTTTAAAGGAACCTAATAATATATCGAACACAAAATTAAAATGCTTTTAAGACATAATGAGAAGGGATGTCGTTGGCAATGCCATAGGTCCATCACACAATCATTTTCGGAGAAAGGCAGAGAAGAAAAAGGTCAAGATCTTACGAAAATTTTAGGACAATATAATTTTATTCATTTTCAATTACGTTTAAAAATTTGGTTGAGTTTTGGTACAGGGAAATAAAAATTTAAGATAAATACAACATTAATTCAAGTGGAATTTTTTTTAGAACGTTGTTCTGCATGAACTTTTTTTTTTTTTTTGAAATATTCGAATCGGTTTATTACTTTACAACTAATCTGATTCGGAGCGGGTCCAGGATTAAGGCTTTAAACTCCTATCAAATGTGGTACTGAAGAGATTCGAACACATACTCTTATCCCCACTTGTTTAGCTCTCATGCATCAATTGAACTACCATCATTTGGTACATGATTTTATCTGAATAGTGAGGATGATTTTACATATATAATTTAATGAATTTTTTAAGCAGAGCCTAATAAAACTTGTTTTAGCCAGCTTAACAGAATAAAAAAATCTCAAAAATCCTTTGCTATGATACATTAAGAAAATAATGGTTGTGGAACTCAAGAAAACCCTGGTGTTAGCTGCTTCATATAATAATATTGCACCATTTTTTACTATAAAGTAGGTGCGTCTAAGGCTTGTTCACGTGATCGATCAAACTCATGCATTTATTTACCTACTTTTCATCTTTGAATTGCAAGGCGAAGGAACCTTCGTCAAACTCATCACGAGCCCTAGGAGGTTAATATCCTAAAACGATGCCTAATTATCTCGCACTTTGAAAATAAATTCGCACTTTCCACAACAAGGTAATAATTGGATGGCTCTACCTATGTTGCACCGTCGTTGACACGAAACATAAGATATGACACAGCACGATACTCCAACATATTAATTCTAAAAAATATTAAATTTTGATACGTTAGAACACGTTTTGATATTATATAATATTTTTAATTTATATAATGTATATTATATTTAATATTCAATAATTTATCAATAATTTAACAAAAAAAAATAAAGTTAAACTTATAAGGGGAAAGATATTATAACAACCAAATTGTGTTATTACCATGGTTCTACCAATCAATCTCACCGTTAGATCGATTATGTTGATCCAACGGTTATATTTATTTTTATCTTTGTATGGTCATGATTTCTCAAATTTAATATTTTATATTTATTTTAACCTTTGTATGGTTATGATTTCTCATATTTAATGCTTTCACTTTAAATATGAAGAATCATAACCATACAAAGATGAAAATAAATATAACCGTTGGATTAACATAATCGATCTAACAGTGAGATTGATTAGTAGTAACACAACTTGATTGTTACAATATCCTTCCCCAACTTATAATACCCATCAATTTTGCAAAGAAACATAATATATGTCAAACGTTTATGTTAAACTCAATAAAATCGTAATCGTAATCTAACGAATCTAATAGTTGAATTCAAAATGCAACACAACGTAACCTTTGAACCTTTTTTGAGTCTTTGCAACGAGTATTGGAGTGTCGAGAAGTGTCGGAATGTCGAAAAGTGTCGAACACGACATGTTAAGAATTTTGAAATATCGGTGCTTCATAGCACCTACAACTACTAGGATTTGCAGGCTAGTAACATTATATCAAACTGGTCCTTTAGCTCAATGCTTAGTATTATAATATTATCAGTGATTAGAGTGCTTATTGCTTCGTAGTTTTAAATACTATGTCTTCCATAAACATACAACAAAGAAGACATTCTACATAGTTAACAAATAAATGCACTCCCACAATGCAAGCAAATATGTGCACCTACTTATTCAAAGAATCATTCTGCAAAGATTCCCCAGTATCCATTATTTACTCCGCAAAAACCAAAGATCGCCTCTTAAGGTTGACAGACATTAATTTAACTCTGCATCTCTCCCTAATCTAGTAAAAAAACTACAATCTATAGATGTGAACATCCACATCAAAGATTTCTAGGAATCATTATTATGCCTCCAAATGTTGATAATTGAGCTACCCAAAACCTTTAATATCGACAAACAGGAAGCACAAAAACGTGGGAAGATAGCACAACATACATGTAAATATAAGCAGTATAAATTGCACCGCGCAAATCCAAGGTAGAAACCTAAATTTGCGAGATGAACCTGAAGGCAGCTCAATCGTAATAGCGCGAGCCAGTATCGTAAACACGTCCCCCTGGATATGCAACTCTGGGCTCAAATCCATGATCTCTCGTACCCCCAAGAAATCGAGCTCGCTCTCTGTAAGGATCAAAGTGATCGCCAGAATAACCTCGTCGCACATCTCCAATGGCAGCAGCTGAAGCATTAACAGCGTTGTAACCATGAGGGTTGTGACTAGGTACCATGCCACTGCTAGGGTAAGGATCCCTTATGGTTTGTTGGTACTGGTTTTGTCTTGCATGTGATTCCCTTTGAAGAAATTCATCTCTGCGACTGGCATGCTGAGCTCGGAGTTCTGCTAATTTTTCTTCATACTGAGCATTGATTGCATTTATTTTCTGAAAAAGAAAAACACACGAAACTTTGTAAAGGTTGATGGAATAGAGAAATGTGTTCAAAACATCAAAAGATATCTACACAATCCAACAAGACTACGATTGTCCCAGATATTTGTTTTTAGTAGGCAAAATTTTGTGACGTGTGGGATAGGTTTTTGAATATACAAATGCAATAAAAACCACTCCCCACTCCCTGACTTGTAAGGATATGGATAAGGGATTGGTTTCTGAATAAAAACACAGCTATACCTTTGCAGTTTTTAGAGACTATTTGTTGGATTTGACTCCGTGATCTTGCGGTCACAAAGGAGCAGTTTCATCACTACTCTAGGCTCTCCATCTTTGAATATATAAATGCAATAAGCAGCAAAAATCTACAAACAGGTTGAAAGGTGCATGTGGCCGCAAGCAGCCAAGCACTCAGCCTAATGACTTTGCTGAATCTACTGACAGCATAAACCTAACTCAAAACTTAAAATGCACCAGTCATGCAAATTTGATAAGAGTTCATACACCCATCTACGATAGGGAATGAAAACTCACTATACAGAAAATGGAGACCAGCTCCTTTATTTTGGAGGTAGCCCTCCATAAGAATTCAGGGCAGAAAATACAAAGATCGAACAAAAACCAGAACTAAGGGAAGAAACACCTCAGTTTCTAAGGGAAGAAACACCTCAGTTTCCTCTCCCCATCCCAGACCTCAAAACCAGAAATTCATCACTATCCCCCCTTCTCTCTCCTCCTTCCCACTTCTCTAATCACTCCCTTGATGTGCCTCCAACTTGCTATGTATTAAGGGTCAAATTGAGCATGTAACTGATCTAAATCTACCCAAAAGACATAAGAATTGGATTAAATTGTTAATTCACTCAGGAGTATTTCCATAAGAATTCTTGTGTTTTTGTAGGGAATTCGACCCATTGAAGGAAAGACAAGTTAGAGAACTCAAAGTGAAGCTAGAGAAGCAAGAGAAATGCCATGTGAACCACGCTAACAGTGCCACATCCACGCTACAAGTGCAAGAACCAATTGAAGCCACTGTCTTGCGGCACCTGTAGCGCCAATATGGTGCTAGTGGCGCCAACAGAATCCTAATTCTTCTCTCCTCCGCGCTAATAGCGCAGGTACGGGCTAGAAATGCCATGGCAATCTGAGCACGCTGTTTTGTGGCGTCAGTAGCGCCAAGACGTTAATTTGAAATTCAAATGATTTGGGTCATGAGCTGATTAGGATGAATGGAAAATTTAAGGAAATTTTCATGGAGATCTGAATGGGATTTGATTGAAGGAAATTAAGGAAACTTTCCTTTGACTATAAAAGAGAAGATTTGGAAAGAAGAAGGATTCTAGCACAGTCTTGCATGAGAAAACGGAATGGAATGCAGAGATTAGAGGAATTTCAAGTTTCAGAGGGATCAAGACAAAGATTGGAGGGAGATCGAAACAACTGTGGAGATCAACCACCTTTCTTCCATCATTGATTCATCAAGTTTTTCTTACCTTCTTGTTTTGTTTAAGCCAGATATGTCTGGCTAGTTTTCTTTTGTATTTAGGGATATGGATTCAAAGTGAACCTTTATGTTTTGATTTAATTTCTTTTCAATAATAATTTGTCTCAAATTGTTTGTGTTTACCTTGATTTATTTGTTTAAATTCTTGTATAACCTGATCAATCATATAGGAATAAAGAGGGTTAAGATTCGCAATAGACATATTGAGATCTTAGCCTAGACAAGGGTAGAACACCAATTCTTGCATGTTCTAGACATAGGCTTGTAGGAATTGCTAACTTGTGTAATTCATCGTGCTTAAGGCTTAATCTAAAAGGGGTTTTTAAGATATTAGGAATCCAATTAGGTTAAAAGGTTAAAGGGCTAAGATATTAGGATTTAACCAACTAATTATTAGATGATGAATTTTTCAAAGACATTAGGATAGAAAGTTATTGAATTGAATTAAATCACTTAAGGGGGATCGGAGGTGATATAAACCCTAATTGCAGTTCTCATTATTGATTTTAAAATCCATCTTTTGAATTATTTGTTCCTTCTTGCAATTGATTATTCCCTAGCATTTATTATTTCTTTTATTCTCATTTGGCTTTCCATCAATTTAAATATTACTCCTTCCAAACCAATTTCTAATTTGTCCAAATTAAGGGGAATAGTAAAAATAGTGTTTGGTATCCCTAATCCTCGTGGGAACGATACTTTCTCATCACTTTATTACTTTTACGACAGGTATCCTTGTCGTACGCGCAACAATACTTGCCGTGAGTGCAACATCCCTCACAATCTGGTGTGATACCAGAATTTCCTTTTTGTCAGGGAGAGATTGACAAAAGATGACTGTTACTAAGTGGGACAGCTGGCACAATGCTAATAAAAACCACTCCCCATTAAAACCCGACTAGCGAGGGTAGGGGTGAGAGCAATCCTTGTACGCAGTCTTATCCTTGCATATTTGTAAAGAGGCTGTTTCCCGGATTCAAACTCATGACCTTTGGGAGTATTGACATTGTGCCAACTGTCCCACTCAGTAACAAAGTCATCTTTTGTCAATCTCTCCCTGTTCAGAGTATTTTCCCACCTCTACCCTTATTTCACCTTTTGTAAACCTGCAGCTACTTCCTACTTGTCCCATTATCATTCAGCCTATTATTCCCCTTTCTCCTAGAATACACTTGCAATATGGGGCTATCAACTATTTCATAAAAAGTATTCTAAGGGTCATCTTCTCCCCTTTTCACGGTGTGCTGAAGAGACACTTGTCAGTTTAATCCAAATTCCAACAGCTATCAGCCTATTTGCTTTCTACATACCTAAGAAGCATTCCATTCTAAATAAGACTGCAAATAAATCTTCACTATGAATCTATGATTAACCTCTTTCCGGTAGGGGTCTGGATTGCCTATCAAGGATGTTTGAGGATTATGTATTCATCTCTATTGAGAAAAGGAAAACATAAAGGTTGCAAATGTCAAGAAGATGTTGAGCATTTCATGAACACGGTAATAGACTAATACTGTTAACATCTAACAGTTAAAAAGGAAAGCAAAGAAGAAGAGTGAGCCTGAAAATCTAAACCAACCTCTCTGTGCCTGGCATTTTCTGAATCTTCAGCATCATTCTGTTCATTGGCTAGTTTAATAACTTCATCCAGAAACTTCTGCTCAAGACCTTCAAAAGTTTGAGATAAATGATTTCCCTCATATTTAACATCCATGTCTTCTTCATGGGCTTGAGTTCTGGCATCATTGCTGCTCTGGTTCTGCAAAGTCAACTTAGGATCAGGTCTCTGACCTTGAAAATAGGACCTTGAAGCATCACCCCCTTGACCTACACTAGAGCATGCAATGGTTCCCTTAAGTTTAGGAGTTCAAAAATCATTTCCATGATACTATAGAAAACATGAATCTTACGATTTTTACATGGAGGCTTATGTTACAATAATTCAAAAGTAAGATATTTCTGCAAATGTGACAATGTTTGCTGAACAAGAATATCATTGTAATCAAACTAAAGAACATTCAAGAGTTTTATCATCCTATACGTGAGGAACAGTTATGTACTCTCATTGAAAAGAAGCAATATTTTAGAGTTAGGTATTAAAAAAAGGGGGCAGCATAGTGCTGTAAAGATAACACTCCGCACAGAGTCCAGGGAAGGGTCTACAGGCAGCCTTACTTTGCATTTGCAAGAGGCTAATTATATACATTGAACCTGTGACGTCCGGGTCGCTTCTTATAGTTAGATATAAAGAATAAGGAAATTACAAATACAGATATGCACATTAGCAGTAAATTGAAAAAGGTAGCATTGAAAATATTTTTTCTGCACAAAAGAGTCCCCTGATACCATCAATAGTCCATTCTAGAAAGAACCTTTTAACCTAACAATTCCATAGGACAATGCCTTACTCCTGATTTTGTAACATAAAGCTTCACACCGTAGCATGGAAGAAAGTTTAATAATCACAAGAATCAAGTGTTTCCGAATTCTAGTAGAAAAGGCCTAACTCTGCACATAAGGGAATAGGAAGACAGATTTTCATCTTCACTGTCTGTCCCAAAATGTCACAAAAAAACCTTATTTTCCTTTTATGTTTGTTCTATACAGTAATCAAACATGAGGTAGCAATTCTTAAGAAAAAACTGAATAATTACAATAGTATAAAATTAAATTGTCTAAGATAACTACACCAATATTCTCTCCCCGGTTTCCCTTCCACCTACTCTTTCTCTCTCTTCATCATTTTTTGATTGTTTGAATTTATTTAAAGAGTAACATTTAGAATTGAAGAGGGCGAGCTTGGAGCAGTGGTAAAGCTGCTCTTTTGTGACTAAAAGGTCAAGTGTCGAATCTGAGAAACAACCTCTTTGCAAAAATGCAAGGATAAGTTGGGTACAAGGATTGCCCTCACCCCAAAACTCGCTAGTCGAGGTTTAATTGGGAGTAGTTCAGTAACATTTAGAATTGCTTTAATTCTAATATCAACATTAAAATGCACATGGGATATATAATACACACTTTCCTCCTCTAAAGTTCGCATCACATATCCTAATTTTTATATTGAAAGCTAACTGTATAAAGCAAACATGATGAAATTGTCGGTTTCGGGGACAAGGTCAGCATACGCTAACATGAATAAAAAGCCATGATTCATGACCAAAACACTGAATACATTAACCTCTGAAAAGATAAAGATAAGCATAACACTCAATAGTCATTACTATTAGAAATGGATTCACTAAGAAATTTAAACTATGTAAAATTGTATGCAAGATATCTAACTACAACAAAATTATACACGCGTCCAATGCGTGAGGAACCTCTGTCCTGCAATGCCAAACCTAAGCAAGTAAGCAGAGGCGCACTTGCCTTCATTAAACATGCGAGATGTCATTGTGTTTGACATATTTGATCCATCCATTTCCCATCTCCATGGACCCTCTTGCTTGGAATTTGAATACGGAGGATTTTCCCTCTCAGGAGTGAAGGCCTCTAGCCGACCTTCAAAACTACCAGAATTGGTTTCCATCCTCTGACCAGAAGCATGATGCATCTGAGAAGCAACATAAGAATTGGCAGATGGATCGCCGCCATACTGCCCCTGCCGTCTCATTGTTAGAGTTAGACAACTCCAACTTGGACCTGTTAGTCACCAAAACCCAAAACCAATAAACTTAACCACATAACCGACAATGCAAGTGTACGAGTAAATATTAGTATAACAGTAGCTAAATGTAGAAAATGTACATGGTTGTAGTGAACTGAACCAGAGAAAGATATGAGAATGATTCTGAAAGCGTAATTAAATATTCTAAATGTCTTGTACATACAGCAGTGTAATTCAGAACTAATTCTGATAGAAATTGTTGGAGACAGTTGCAACCTACTCACAGCTCTTACAAGAGTTACAAGTCTGTTTGGTAAACAAAATAAGCTGATCCTGGTCCTAGCTGAGTTAAACACTCAGCACATTCTCTAAGAATAAACAGTGTGCAAAATGCGAATAAAAAGTTAAAAACAAATGAGATAAGGAGAATCCCTAAACAAGGTGCAAAATGCGAATGTGAAGTTAAAAACAAATGAGATAGGCAAATCTAAAGGGTGTATAGCGTGCTATTTAATGGGGAAGAGATTAAACAAAAGTGTAAAAAAAAATTCAATCTGCAGTGGAGGATCATAAAAAACTTCTATTTTGGACTATAAGAAAGAAAGCTACCAATCACATAAAATTGCCCCAGAAAACCAGAGGCTGTAGGTACCAACCAGCTTATTCGATATATCAAACAATTGTCGATCGAGTGTGCAGAATTGAGAGCGAACTACAACTCTGCAGAGTGAAAAATGAAAACCCTATCACGATGGAGGAAACAGGCTTGTGATCCCAGCTGGGTGAAAAAAAATAATAATAAAGAAAAAAATTATATAAGTAATCTTCCTCAGTGTGATTTTGTTTTTACTTTTTATAAGATATTTAAAAATATAAATTTAATTTTTTTATAAAATAAAAAATAAAAAATCAAGACTTGCAAGTTCAATGCTTAATTGACGTCATTTAAATACTTTTACAGGGAAATGAAACTGCTGATATATCTAAACCTGTCTAGGGGATGTTTGGTTGAGAAAATTTTTTTGGAATAGTAGGGAAATGAGATAGATAGAGAAATGATTGAAAAGATAGATAAAGTGAGATAGGTAGAAAAATGTAAAAAAAAGTTGTTTGGTGGGGAAAAACTTTACTGGAAAAATTAGGTAACTTTATGAAATCAACAGTGCATTAAAAGTCAGATAACCGGTTTTCCGAAAAATCCCACCTTCAAATTGGGTTTCTAAACAGTGCAGATATCTATGTTTCTCGTGAATCCACACAAATTGGATATATGGATTTTTGGTGAAAAACGTTGAAACAAACATGGTGTTTCTAAAAGCCATACTTGAGAAAGATAGATATCCATTGAAAAGCTACCAACTAAACACCACCTTATAGCTAAGTCCTGGGCACACTTATTTCCTTCACGATTCAAGAACTGAAATTTCACCTCCCAATCTTTATGCAACGAATGAGGATCAAATATTTTCACTTCTTTGTTGTTACTTTAGTCATCACGACAAATTTGACACTTGATTTTGATTGCTTTATATATATATATATATATATATATATATATATATATATATATATATATATATATATATATGAGCAAATACCCTTTTTTCGTCCCTGGCAATATCGACGAAGGCCTTTTTAGTCCCTAGCAATAAAAAAAGGACAAATTGGTCCCTGAAATAACAAAAAGGGGGGGCCACGTTGGTCCTTCTGTTAACTCCACCGTAACGGCCCAACTAACGGTGCCCATGTGACACGTTAGTGTGCTGACGCGGCTTGGACGTTTAACAGCGTAGATTTACAGACGACGACGTTTTGTGCGAAATGGGTTGAGAGCTTTCCAATTGAGCAGACGACGTCGTTTCTTGGGTTGACAATAGTCATCAACTACACTGGATGTTACCATAGTTAGACATCCATATTTCACTTAAGTTTTTCAACTTGCGAGGAACCCCATTGTTTACCTCGAAGCTTGGTTGAACGGTGAGCATTGTCAAAGACGGTGGTTTCTGGTAAGACAATCGAGCGTGGACAGTGAAGGTTTTGGAACGGCTGGTGCTTTGGTGGTTAAGGAAAGTTCGATTGTGGGTGTTGTCTTACATGCACTAAGGTACGTGTTGTTAGAAATCCTTCCATATATGTGGTCCCCCCTCACTACATGTTGTGTATTTTTTGTTGGATATGGTCCCCCATATGCGGTCCACTGTCTGTTTATTTGGTTAGGGTTTACAAAAAACAAACTCTTTTATGTCTGTGGTCCCAGTTTGAAAAGTATTTTGGCACTTTTTAGTGCTTTGTGGACCCTGATGTTAGTCCCTGTATTGCATGCATATTTTGTAAATGTGACATATTTTTGCAATTTACTGCCCTGTATGTTTACACGCCAGTGTTGAGTTATATATGCAAATGGCTATTGTTTGTAAAATCTGATTGGTTGTTAACGTTGTGAAGTAAATGTCATGTGGTCTATGTTTTTTTTTTTTCAGATGGATGAATATATAGATAAGGTATCATCATAGGGGTGTGTTAATCAGAGATGATGAAGGGGTCCTAACCTATGCAAATGACAAAGTAGTTGATTTACCTGAGATGGATGCTGACTTTGTCAACCTGCGTGACCTTGATACTCTGTTCAAGGGTTATGGGTAAGAGAAATGTGATCAGATGTTGTGGCTCATGCCAAACGCAATGGATTTAGACAGTGGTTTAAGGCTTCTGAGTACGGACTCTGATATTGTAGAGATGGTTAAGGTGCATTAAGTAATGGGAACTTCATAGAAATATATTTTGATCATTGCATTTCCATCCCTGATATTATTGCACCTGCACCTGTGGAAGGCAGTGATGGGGATGAGGATAATCTGCGTGAGTCATTTGGAAGTGGATCTGATCACATTTCCTCAGGTGATGAAGATGATAGTGGAAATGGTGATGGGTTTTCTACTGACTCAGATGATAGTGTGGAGGATGAGCCATATAAGCCTCCTCCACCAGGGTATGAAGAAGAAACAGAGAGTGAAGAGGAGTTAAAGTGTATAGGTAAGGCTACTGAAAAAAAAAGGGTAACAAGAAGAAAAAAAAGGTTGTTGAGGATGTGGCAGGGGAAGATACAATGGAAGAGGAGGATAAGCAAATGTCTTTCGAGGAGGATGGGTATGGGTATAACTCTGAAGAGTTGAACACACCTCCTTCAAGTGGTGCTGAGGAGGCTGAAAGGGTTGTCAATCCAAAGTTTAAAGTGGATGAGGTGTTTGGTCATGTACACTTAGAGCTGGGGATGGAGTTTGTGAGTTTGCAACACTTTAAAAATGTTGTCAAAGACTACAATATTAGTCTAGGAAGACAATTCAAGTGGGTTAAGAGTGACAAAGTCAGAGCCCGAGCCAAGTGTAGTAATGAAGAATGTGATTGGATGAATTTTTTGTGCTTGGAACAACAAAATGGCCGCTTTCCAAGTAAAACTTTTAATGACTCCCACACTTGCTGCAGACTTTTCAGAAACAAGAGGGCAAGTGGGGATTGGGTTGCAAATAAGTTAGAAAAAAGGCTAATGACACAGTCGAACATGACAAGGGTTGAGGCCTATGAACATATGAAAGAGGAGTACAAAGTCCATGTCTATTTGAAGAAAGTGACCAAGGCACTTCATAAAGCCAAGGCCAGAATTGAAAGGTGTGAAAAGAAGCAATATGCAAAATTGAGAGACTACTTATGAGAGCTTTTGAGAAGCAATCCAGGCTCTACATGTCAAATGCAAGTCATACCACAACCTGATCCACAAGCCCCACCCATATTTTCTAAGTTGTACATTTGTTTTGATGCATGCAAGAGAAGGTTCAAAGCTGGCTGCAGGCCCTTATTTGGTTTAGATGAATGTTTTTTAAAAGGATATTATGGAGGACAATTGTTAAGTGCAGTTGGGGAGGATGCGAACAAGAGCTTCTATGTCATCGCATATGCAGTAGTGGATAGTGAAACTAAAGAGAACTGGAAGTGGTTTTTAACCCTGTTACAAGAAGACATTGGCAACCATTCAGTGTTTGGGTGGAATTTTATTTCTGATCAACAGAAGGTTTGTTTTGCTTATTTCAATTGATCTTACTTTAGTTTTTCCTCTGTTTTTTTTTTTACAATGTTCCTTATGTTAGCCATGGTTTTTTTGGTTCTTTGGTGTCTGTATGCAGGGGTTGATTCCAGCTCTGCAAGAGGTGATGCCTAGTGCACATCATCATTTTTGTGTGCAGTATGTCTGGAAGAACTTTATAAAACACTGGAAAGACAAGGCAATCAGAGGCATTGTCTGGGAGTGTTCAAGATGCAACACTGTCTCCCAGTTCCAGAAGTCAATGGCACGTTTGAAAGGGATGAACGAGGCAGCATGGAAGTACTTAGACAACCTTGATCCCTCAAGTTGGGTAAAAGCTTATTTCAGCCACTGGCCGAAATATGATAACATCACAAACAACATGGCAAAGATATGGAATGCCAAGATTGTTGGGTATTGGTCGAAACCAATAATAACTCTCTTAGAGGAATTGAGGTGCTACATTATGAGGAGGATGGCTGCACATCAAAGGGTTTTAGGAACTATCTGGGGTAAAATTGCTCCTGTTCAACAAAAGAAACTAGATCAAATAAAGGTTCTGAGCAATTCATGGACACCAACTTGGACTGGAAATCTGCAGCAAGATATGTATGAAGTCAGTGGGAGGGGTGAGAGAGTGGGAGTTAATTTAACAACACATACTTGTGCATGCAATGCGTGGCAGTTGACTGGACTGCCATGTGAGCATGCAATAGCAGCCATTTGTCACAAAAATGAACCACCTGAGAACTATGCCCATCAATGGCTTACAGTGGATGCATTGCATGCCACTTATGCACACACCTTGAACCTAGTAAATTCTGACAAGTATTGGCCTTCATCTGATGAACCCAAACCTCTTCCTCCAAAACTGAAAAGGCCAATTGGGCGTCCCAAGAAACACAGGAAGAAGGACCCAACTAAAGAGCAGGGGAGCAGTACAAAGAAAGTGAAAAGGACATATGCAGCCAAGTGTCCTAAATGTGGTCAGACTGGACACTATGCAAAGAGCTGTAAGGGACCACCAACTTCCAACAAAGGTAACAGACAAGCAAGAACATAATCTGTAAGGATTGGATCCAGCTCAGTAGATGAAATCCCATTAAGTCAAGGAGGCCCTGCAGCACATGGTAGTTCTGAGCCACATGAAGGCAACTTGAGAGGAAGCAGCCCACCTCCATCAAATCCACAACAGGAAAATGAAATGTTGAGTGAGGCAACAATGAATGCAGCAACCAGTGGCACACGAACCAGGTTTTTGGCCTTCATGACAACACCTGGTTTCAGGGCACCAAGGTCTGCCTCAAGAAAATGACATGCTGTTGTATATGACCTGGGAGTAGTGCATGAGCCAACTGACAAGGACTGCATATAATGTGACTGACTTTTTTTGTAAATTCTGGCCATTATGTTTTTGGAGGCCTTATATAGTCAATGTTTTTTTTTTTGAATTCTGGCCATATTGTATTTAGAGGCCTTTCTTTTGATTCCTGGCAGTTGGCTTTATTTTGTAATGCACTACTGGACATCCATGTCTTCAAATATCATGAAACTCAAATGCACTTCTGTTGTAATGCACTGTATGTTTTTTAACCGATATATGTATCTGATGTAATGCACTTCTGTTTTGTAAATTTGGAATGCATACAAATGCAATGAGGTCATGTGCCTATTTTTATCTGGTTAGGGACCAATAAGATCCCCGTGCTTTTTGTCAAGGACCAAAAAGGTCAGAGTGTAGTATCATGTTCCAGCAAGTATGTTAGTGGATGATTGATGAATGTTTAAGCATGTCCATTTTTTATGTTTTTAAACTGAACTATGAAATTGTAGTTCTTCGACATCCATGTGTTCTGTTTTAACAAATTGGACACCACTCCTGTATCTGTACATTCTGCACTTCTGCTTTGTAAACTTGGTCTGCATACAAATGCAGTGAGGTCATATGCCTAATTTTCTTTGATTAGGGACCAATAAGGGCCCCATAAGGGCCCCGTGCGTTTTTCCAGGGACCAAAAAGGTCCTCGTGCAATTTGTCAGGGACCAAAATGGCCCTGGTTTTTTGGCATGATTGACAAATCTAATGTCCAACATGAAACTTCTGTAACAGCAATTTTTAGCCATCAATAACTTTACATTCTGGTTTGTGATACAATGCAGCAAACTGACACATTCATTCCATGCCTAAGTATGCAATATACCATACAAGGGACAAAATAGCATTCAGATGGCATTGAATACACAAATATATGATGCAATCAGACATAAAGGAATACATTGAAAGCTTCTTTATTATTAATCCAGATATGTATGATGCAGACAGATTCCAACCAACACAGAATACGCCATATAATACAAGCTTCTTCATTAATTTGTATCACAAGAGTACTGAGTACTCATTACACTTCAGTGAAGGAAAAATACATTGAGGTAACTTGTTTTCACTGTTACCACACTAACAACAAACATACATATGATGATCACACCTACACAAGCAGCACCTAAGACCCTAGCTGACCTACCAACATTTCTAATTTGTTTTTCCATCCTATCTAACTCCTCCACCATCTTCAGGTATACATCATTTCGTTTTCTTTCCTGCTCATTAAGCTTCATTCCTTGCTCACTAATCTTCACATCTTGCTCTCTCATCATCATGTCCACATACTTCAACTTGAAAGTAATTTCAGCAACATCCAACTCCATATTGTGAATTTTTGCATCTTCCAGTTCCATCCGTTCATTACAGACATCTACCCATCTAAAAAAATCACAAAACGGCTTCTTCTCCTGCCAAAATAACAAACACGATTAGGGACTGTTTCAACTTAATAAAAGGGCAGATTACACATGTATACCTTGAAATTAGGACACCTAAGGAAAGCCCTGTTTGGGTTTCTCTTAGTTTTGGAGGTATAGACAATACTTTGTCTCCCACATTTGCACCTACGACCGGCGGTCCTTGTCAGTGTTCTTCCCCCCATTGAAGTACTCCCACTTGATCCCCCCATGCCAGAAGAAACACTCATCTTCTCCCACGCCCAGCAAATTTGGTAGATGTCTTCTACTGTCGTCGAGTTTCAATCATCAACGTCCAGAGATTTTGGGGTCGTATTGCTGTTTAGGGTTTATTTCATCAGTTTGGGGGATTGTGTCTGTTTAGGGTTCGATTGAGCATTTTGGGGTATTTTCATATTTAGGGTTCATGATCAACCCAAGAAACGACGTCGTCCGCTCAATTGGAAAGCTCTCAACCCATTTCGCACAAAACGTCATCGTCTGTAAATCCACGCCGTCAAACGTCCAAGCCGCGTCAGCACACTAACGCGCCACATGGGCACCATTAGTTGGGCCGTTACGGTGGAGTTAACAGAAGGACCAACGTGGCCCCTTTTTTCAGGGACCAATTTGTCCCTTTTTTATTGCTAGGGACTAAAAAGGCCTTCGTCGATATTGCCAGGGACTAAAAATGGTATTTACTCTATATATATATATGGTTATGCTTAGAGTTTATAGTTTATCAAACTCGTTCTTAATTTCTGTTGAAGGTTTGGACTTGAATAATTTCAGTTTTCTTATATTAGGAAGGTATATTTATAACATATTTTCGTTTACAACCTCTTACAATCATATCTTAATCATTGATTTTCGTTAATCAACGGTTATTAATTATTGCAAAATAATAATTAATTAATGATTTGTAAAAATAATAATAGTTGATTGGCGAAAATCAACGGTTAAGATATGATTATAAAAGGTTATAAACGAAAATAGGTCGTAAGTATAACCTTCTTCAATCAATATATATGTGTTTTAAAAGTGAGAAAGGTTATACTTACAACCTATTTTCGTTTACAATCACATTTTAATCGTTGATTTCCGTCAATCTGCGGTTATAATTTATTGGGTCATATTTATTAATTAATTATTAATTTTTAATAAATTATAACCGTCAGATTGATAAAAATCAACGGTTAAGATATAATTATAAAGGGTTCGCTTTTTCTACAGTCAATGTAGATAGCTTATCTACATTGAGCCCAAAACGACGTCGTTTTGAGTCAGAAATCAAGATATTTTTGTAATTATAATTTATTTAAGGGTTATAATCGTCTTTTTCATTTTAATTTTTTAATTTTTCAACCCAAAACGACGTCGTTTTGGAAGCGAATGTAGATAACTTATCTACATTCACTTTAGAAACATTAAAGCCAATTATAAAAGATTATAAACAAAAATAAATTATTCTCTTTAAAAGTTACGTAAACATATTAAGTACAAAGATTAATCAAGATTTAAATGGAATGGTATTGAGTAGTTGTACTTGTATCACATATAGTATGAAGATAAAAATGAAATGAAAAATCTGTAACTCAGTTTTTAATATAATATAATATAATATGGGAAAAGATATTGTAACAATCAAGTTGTGTTACTACCATGTTACTATCAATCAATTTCATCGTTAGATCAATTATGTTGATCCAACGGTTATATTTATTTCCATCTTTGTATGGTTATGATTCCCCATATTTAAAGTGAAAACATTAAATATGAGAAATCATAACCATACAAAGGTGTAAATAAATATAAAGTATTAAATTCGAGAAATCATGACCATACAAAGATAGAAATAAATATAATTGTTGGATCAACATACTCGATCTAACAATGAGATTGATTGATAGTAACTTGGTAATAACACAACTTGGTTGTCACAATATCTTTCCTCATATAATATTACTAATAAAAAATTTCACATTCATTTTAATCCCCATAATAAAATAATCCTTATACTTAATTACTATATAAAATCAAATATTGAAAATTACTCAAGTAACACTTATCTCGCGTATTACTAAACATTGTATAGCACTGAATGCATATATTTAGTTTTTAAAGAATTTATTGTCAATGTTTTTTATTTGCTATTTTGAAAGTAATATCTATATTTATATATGTTGTATCTAATCTATAAAATGCTAAACATGACTGTTAGCATGGTTGTAAAAATTATGTCTCTCCTTGGTATGAATTTGTTCCAAAATCATACTTCTAAATTTACAAAATCACAGATCTACAATTACAAAATCAAAGATTTAATTTTGAAGGTTGGCTCAAGCGATAATATGAGTTCTTGAAACACAAATTTGACTAGGCACTTTTGAGGCCAGAACTAGATAATTATTAAACCGCTCCACTCAAGTTAATCCTATACAGGTATGAGTCTTTTTTTCTGCCTGGGTCATGGAAATACGCGAGAAACCTGACTTGCTGAAAGAAATAATTAGGTTAATAGAATAAATACATAAAACAAAGATTTGCTGTCATAGGCCAATTATACAACATCATATGTTGTTCTAACTTATGTCGTTGACATTCATATGACCGTTCATCCTTTAAAAGAAAATTAGACAATAATGGCCGTGACTCTTGCATTCCTTGTTTGCTTCTACTGACAGATAGTTCCCACCGATGCAAAGCTAAAGTAGCAACCTACCTATACCGATAGTGTGATGGCTACTTCAGATATCAGACACAGAAGATCCAAAAACGATTTTGAATTTAAAGGTGATGCAAGTTAATGGTTCGTTGTTCTCATTCTTTAGTGTCATCTTCATAGTGTAGGTGCCCTGTAATCATTAAAATGAAGATAAGGAAATGATCTCAGTAATATATTGTTTAACTAAAATAGAAAAGGTTTACCTCCCAATAAAATTGTAATCAAAGACAGGCATGATTAAAACCAGAAAACAGGAGTACAAGAAAAGTTTACATCATGACAAGAGGTAATTAAGAAAATCAGTAAAAAGTCAATTCGAACTTATCTAAGCCAATATAAAGCAAACAGATAAGCAATCAAATTATGCACTGAAGAGTTAACGACGTATGTTGAAGAGAGCATAGGCCAAGAACATGCTGCTAAAGAATATTGAACATCATCTCAAATATCATGCTCTAAAGAAAATTGTCTTATCGTGATTTGAGATATTTGACATCAGCTACACAATGAATGAAGTGAACAGTCAAAGGCAAAGAACTGATTCAAACTGAAAAAAGAAACATGAAAGATATGAAACTATCAAATTGATAAAATGATCAAATGAAGCCGATCATAACACCACCCTCAAACGGGGCTATGTGGAGAAGAAGTTATCATTCAAGAGCATTCCTCCCTCCCTACAGGACAATAGATGTAGTAGGAACTAGGAAGGATGCACACACCATGCCTACCACTCCAAGAAATAAAGGTGCACGAGTTAATGTTAATCGCTTTTGTTGTCAAAGATTTGAATTAAGACAAACAAAACGGCCTAGTGTTAGAGAATAATATAAATCATTAAAAAGGTTAAAAAGTCATCACCCAAAACCTTAATGTTTTTGGGTTGAATTGATTTTTTACATGGTATCAGAGCTTCAGTAATCATAAGGTCACGAGTTCGATCCTCACCGCCCCCACTTGTGGAATTAAATAAACATAAGGTAAACCAAAATTTGGGCCTATGCAATAATCTATGCTTCAAGCTCAAAGGGCTCTTGCGTGAGGATGTATGTTAGAGAATAATATAAACTATTAAAAAGGCTAAAAGGCCCTCACCCAAAACCTTAAGGTTTTTGGGTTGAATTGGTTTTTTTTTTTTTTTTTGTAATTAAAGGCCACATTTCCAATCTATTACATTGGCTTAGTGGTCTCTAAGACCATCGATAAAAATAGCAGTCTAACATATCACCTATTGGCATCTTCACATATGGTAAAATGACTTTTAACTTTTTTACCAAAAAAAAAATGACTTTTAACTTTAGATTTAGGAGTTACATGATGTAAGAGAGAAAGGTAGAATTATTAACTACATGTTTGTATAAAGGAAAATTTTAGATATAGGTTTCATATACAATGAATAAAGCAGCAACAAACTCACATTTTAAAAGGAAAAATACATATGTGAGAAAATAATGCAGGTGTCCATCTCCTCAGAGATGCACCACAATGATTTTTGACATTCTCAAGAGATCAGTTTAAATACTCTTGGTAAATGTACTATTTACATCGTGATAGTGTTAGGATCCATTTGCAAGGTATGGGACTTAGAGTCCCACATTGGTTATATGAGAAACTAATGTGGGGTTTACAAGGCCTTGGACACCCTTTGAGCTAACTTTTGAGGTGGTGCATTCCAAGGTTCTTATCAGATAGTTTTTACAGCCATTAGCCTAGCTATGAAGATGGTAAAAATACAACACACACCAAGTGCAAATTTGCAAATGCCCAATGACAACTTTACCAACTGAATCAATGTCATATTAAATAAATTCATAATTGCTAACATGTATAAATGTGTCAACGGGGTGGCTCCTTGTGACGTTCAAAGGAGACTTCATTTCGTGATAGGGTTATATTCTTAGATTGGCTTCAGCATTGCTAAGAGCGTGAATTTGATAAATTGAAACTAACCGGTGGAGCAAATGCAGGCAATTTTTGGGTGTTAGCAACCACAAAATTGCCAGTTGCAACAGGACAGGACACTTGCTCACAAAGATCATGGGTTTCTTTATGGACAACCACTCCAATGTATGCAACCGTAATTACCCACTTCCCACCAGAAATAGCTTCACCTGCATCAAAGATAGACATTAGAGGGAAACTCCACTCACAATCCACTAAAATTAAATAAATGACATACTAATTAACAAAGCAGCTCCCACACACGTAATGCTTCGCAATGAACAAACCATTAAAGTAGTAAAATTCTCTTTTTGAGTATGTAAAGAACCAATCCAACTCAAAAGCTTTAGCTTGTGAGTGAGACTATATTAATAGTTTTATATATCTTTAAGACGCCTCCTCACTGAAGAATTCATTGGGTTTAAAAAACAGATGATGCATCAGGCTCAGCCTAACTATGCTAAGAAATTCCACAAAGAAAATAGAGGCGGTGAGAATCGAACCCGGATCGAAACTTTGATACCATATAAAGAACAGTGGCAGAGCTGCTTTAGCTTCTGTAAGGGCTGGCTTGTTTTCTAAATCAGATGCTTTTTTTAATCTTCAGTAAATTTAAATAGTTGGCTTCCTCGATAGCAGCTGATTTTGGCCTTGGCTTTCTCCATGGTTGGTTGATTTTTGGCCCGGCCTTTCTGATTTTTCCGGCTCTGCCACTGATAAAGAACCAATTCAACCCAAAAACTTAAAATTTACTGTGAGGTTACATTAATGGTGTTATATATATATCTGACGGAGTACGTGTAAGTATTCAAAATCTCTTTTTGAGTAAATTATTCTGTTCATAAAAACAATATAAGTGAAATATAATTTCGTTTGTCCAGTAATCAACACATTAAACCACTAACCTGGTCCCTGCATGAAAGCAAAATGGAAATTGGGGGGAAAAAAATTAATAAAATAAAGATAAAGAAGAGAGGGATTACGAGTAGCAGAGGAGATCTTAAACGTAGCTGGCCTTGCACGCACAACAGGGTCTGGTGTTATTTCAACTCCAGACACCTTCACAGCATAGTTTACATCATCTGCATAAATTTTGAGCGGATAATTAAATACATAAAAATGTACTATATTCATAAAGTTCCATGAGACCAAAGAAAACCTAAAAGAGGGAGAGAGATGAAGTACCGCAGTATCTGAAGCTAGTAGGTTGAGCTTGAAAAAATGAAAGGAAGAGGATGAATAAGCATAAAAGAAGGTGGAGCTTTGGATGAAACTGAAACTCCATGTGAATTGTGAAGTAGGGAAAGGTTTATGGAAGCCGGAACAAGGAAGCATAGCTCTTAGCCTCTTAGCATTTGGTTGCTCCAATGATCCCGTGCATTCATATCTGTGGGGTCATCTCTACCTGGGATTCACCCGTAAATCTCTTATTTGTGACTGTGAGCAATGTTATCACAACCGGACGGTCATCAACCCGACTAGGGGGGTGATTAAATTATTGGACATATAAATTTATATTTCATATTTAATTTTTTTTTAAATTATGATATGAAAATAAATATTTATGGAATCAAAATCAAACAAATAAAAACAATACGGTACCATGCTACGATGCACGGACACGGACACGGGACGTGGGACACGACACGCGACACGTTAATTCTAAAAATTGTCATATTTTGACACGTTGGGACACGTTTTGATATTAAATAAAATTTTTAATATATATAATATAATTTATATTTAATACATATAAGAGTCCATAACAAGTCATATAACCAATCAAATATTTAAATTAAATAACATAAATATAGATATAAATAATTTTCGTACTTTGTTAATTTTTCATGTCAAATTTCATAACAGAAAAAAATTAATTTATAAATTATTTCTTTTATATTTAGTTAACAAAATAAAATTAAGATTTAAAAATAAAATAAAATAAAAACGTGTCCGAGCGTGTCCGAGCATTGACCGCGTGTCCAAAAAAGTTGATTGCGTGTCAGAAAAACGTGTCGGAACGTGTCTGAGAGTTGACCGCATATCCCCAAATGTTAACCACGTGTCCGACACGCAAATTTTCAAAAAAAGACCATGTCCGTGCTATATAGGTACCATGTAAGTCATAATAAAAAAATTGAAAATAATAAAAATAAAAAATTGTAAATTTAGAAAAATTGAAATAAGAGGAGATAAGAAATGAGTAAAGTAAGGAAACTGAGTTTGCTGGCCTAGAATTTGTAGCTAAATCTAAATTGTGTTATTTCCAAAAAAAAATAAAAAAAATTTGTGTTTTGCTTTTCGCATTTTGGGCACAAGCACCTTTTTACTGTTACTCAAAAAAATTATCAAGATAAAGTTGATTAAATAAGTCTTTTTCAAACTAATACAGTCAAATACATTATTGATATTAACTAGACTAGTTCCGTCAATAATTCTAACGGGAGTGATGTCATGTTAGCATTATGTAGGCAGTTACATTACTGTAAAATTTTGGAAGGCCATAACTTTTGATTTGGATATTTAAATAAGATTTTTTTTATTTCATATTACTTTTTGAGATCTATGCAATATCACCTCATTTGGCATATTTTATTTCCCACAAACATAGTTCGAATTTGTAACACTGGTACCACAATCACAAGAGCGTTTAAATCCAGATGCTCCTGAATTCTTTCCAAACTAACATCATGAGCTACAGACCATGCCATCGATTGACACGTTTTATCTATGTGAATGGTGTTATTTAATTTCTTTTCTTATTTTTCAACTATCCAACAATAACAAATAATGACAGTGGTTTCGTCACCATCAACGCGCACAGGCAACAACGGATAACAACATTTCTTCTTATGGAAAGCCCTAAAGTACTGATCTTGTTGCTGAAAAAACTGTTGCCTCAGAGGCTAAACGTGAAAAAACTAGGCCAAGAAATCGATAACACTTGCTGCAGCTCATGGTGTTGGTTTGGACAGAACTCGGCAGTTTCTGAGTTTAAATGTTCTTGTGATTGTGGAACAATTGTTGCAAATTCAAACTATGTCTGTGGGAGATAAAATATTTCAAATGAGTTGTCATTACGTTGATCTCGAAAAGTTATGTGGAATAAAAAAATTACCTGATTTGGATACCCGAGTCAAAAGTTATGGTCTTTCGAAGTTTTACGATAACGAAAATGCCTACGTTGCGCTGACATGGTATCAGTCCCGTCAGGATCATTGATGGGACTAGTCCTTTCAGTAGGGGTATAAATGTGACGAACGGCTTGTTAGGGCCCAAGGCTTGGCTTAACTTGACTTGCTTAATAAATAGAACGAGCTCAAGTTTTTAAAAAAATTTGTTTAACCCTATTTTTTTACTATTGGTCTGTCTTTTCCTCTCTCGGTCACTTACATTTTCACGACTTTACCCCAACAAGGCTCTTTGACTATTGAAAAAATACATTTATAATTATAAATGAGTCAAGCCAAGTCTTTAATTTTTCATAAACAAGCCAAGCATAAAATTTAGCTCGTACTAGGCTAACGGGCCAAGCCAAGCTCAAAATATTTTTCATTGGCTTGGCTCGTTTAAGCTAAAGCTTGGCTCAACACAGCTCATTTACACCCATATTCATCAGTACTAGTAACTTGTTTGACTGCATTAGTTTGAAAAAATTTATATAATTAACTTTAACTGGGCAATTCTTTTGTCCCCCAGTCTTAGAATGGTGCTTTAGCCTCACATTTTATGTTAAGGAAGCTGGAACAAGGAAGCATAGATCTTAGCCTCTTAGCATTTGGTTGCTCCTGTGCATTAATATCTATAGGGTCATCTCTACGTGGGATTCGCTCGTAAATCTCTTATTTGTGACTCCTGAGTAAGGGTGTAAATTGTCTAGGCTAGGCTAGGCTTTAGCATAAATAGTCTAGACTTGTGTAAAATACTTTAGGTCTGATCTGACCTGTTAGTCTTGTGTGAGCTTAAATTATAAATATGGTATGACCTATATTTAAAAAACAAAAGTCTTGACCTAGGTCTTTTATCCTGTTTAAGCCTATTAAACATTTAATAATTAAAATAATATTACTTTATTATTAAAAATGATTAGAATAATAATTTTATTTGTTTTTTTTAAAATACATAATATGATATAGGCCAGCTTGTAGGTTTATAGGTTTGACATGTAAAAAAAAGTCTAAAGCCTACTTTTTAAATATATTTTTTTAAAAATCTAGACTTGCTCTATTTGACTATATGTAATTAGTCAAACCTGACGTGATATAGGTTAGGTCGTAAGCTCCTGTATGCCGATTAGACCATTTACACCCTTACTTGTGAGTGTGTGGGTTGCATTAGAACTTTTTTTATTATTATTAAATGGGATTTTACTTTTATATATAAAGTTTGTTTATTTAAAACTAAACTTGGTAAAATAGGTTGAATCCCATGAATCAACCCGTCAAAACGAAGTGGGTTGTTTTGTGTATTTCAACCTATTTACCTAAATAACTTATATTTATGGGAATGGGTCAACTCACATTTTAAAAAATATATATTAAATTATTAGATCATGACTTAATTGATTTATATGAATGACTATTATACAAGACAAAATATTTTCTTTTAGGGTCACAATGCTATTATTTTATTGAAAATATTCTTTTGTATTCACTTTTTATTAAGAACAAAAAAATATCAACACAAAAAATAAAAGAAACTTCAACTTGTTTTTGGATTTAGATGTCAGTATAGGATGACTGGTCACGTTGGATTCCAATAGGTAATGATGTAGTACAATCTTTGTCTTCCATTTCTCATTCCACTGCTATATGTATCTCTTAGATAATAATAGATTTTCATTTACTGAATTATTAATTAAAGATGTTTTTCTAAAAAGTAATTAATAATACAGTACGTACCAAAATAATGAAAAGAGTAATCTAATTAATTATACATTGATTACTAAATTACTGATTAAATGTTATCAACAAAAGAATATAATTAATTAACTAACGATTATGTGATAATATAATTAATTATTTTAATAATAATAATTTCTTAATTAGTTAACTTATAGTTAATATGTAATTCATTAGTTAGTAAATTATATATTTTTTATTAATTTAATGATTAACGGATAATTAATGAGATTATTATTTTTAATTACTTTTGGTAACGTGTTGTTATTTACTCCATAGTGTTAATCTTTAATTATGAATTTAGTAAATGTAAGGTATAATTTATATGTCAAAAAGCAATCTATTAAAATTTTTTGAAATCACAATCCAATACACGCGTAAGTTCTAACGATATAGCACAATCAGACACGCACATGTCCTGTATGAATTGATTTTCGTAAATGAAATTTTTACAAATAAAAAGTGTAAAATTATTCATCTCGCAAACATGTTCACAATATCCCTTTATTTTTATTTTCTTTGGTTACCAGTATGTTTTTTTGGTGAAGAACTTGAATTCATCATAGCACCACATTAATGATTTATTTCTATTAATTCTATGCTAAACTAATACAGTAATATGTTTGATCCTCTTCATTATTATTTTTGTGACAAATAAAATCTTAATCCTAAACTCACTCCCAACAAAATTGCCTCCAATAAAAAATTCATGTGGTTTATAAAAAAAACAAAAACTAATACAGTAATATCAATTATAAATAGAAGAAAATGATAATCTCAAAGCTCAGTGAATGTTTGAATTAAAAAATAAATAGAAAATTCACTGTTTTTTAATCTCAAAATAAAAATAATCAAGATTTTACTGAGAAAGTATCTAAAAAATGATTTTCTCTTAAAATTTAAATCTAAACAAAACCAAACATATATTTAATGTAGGAGATGAATAGTACAGGAGAATTTCAATGCTATAAATATACATGGGACAACTTTTATGTTGACGCTGTTTATACTTTATACTTCTAGTCATTCGCTGTTCTTTAATTATTATTATATATTATTAAAAAAAATTATGTGCAACTAAATCTAACGATTGAGTATGCACCCATAAAAATCTAACGATTGATTATGAAAATAATTTTACAATATTAATTTATAATTTCAATTTATATTCTTGCTCATTTCCAACCACGTTAATCAACTTCAATGGCCGGGCTCCATTGTTGACAAAATGCAATTTTATTTAGGTGAAAGTTTCAATTACTTCTTAATTCCTTTTTAAAATATATGATATATAACAAGGGCATATTTTGATATTTCGAGAAATGAAATTAAGCTAAGGATTAATCTTATTAATTAAGTAAAAAAATATTAGACTTTTGAAACCACCGTATATAACAGGAGTTTTCACTCATTAAATACTTTACCTTACACATTATGTCTATAATTAATATTAAGTTACGTTGAAATGCTTTATAGGTACACAACTCCCTTTGTTTATTAGAGCACACTACGAAGCAACCTGCCACCACCACCATTGGACCATTCTATGAAAGTTCAAATACATCATACTTTATGATCAAATACACTCATTTGTTCATAAGTAATCTTTATCAGACTCAATTTTTTTTTATTTTAATGGTATTTTCTAATGAATTGTTAGGAGGTAGAATAATGATTATAATGTACATCTTAAAATCTTCTATCTTTGTTATTCAAAAAAAAAAAAAATCTTCTATCTTTTAAATATATATATATATATATATGTGAAAATTATACTCTTATGTTACATAAGATTCATCTCTTATGTCACACTCACATAAAAGGATGTGTCTTTTTTTAAAAATAAAAATAAAAAAATTGATGGACCTCAGTTAATTTATCTCACAATATAAGATAACTTCTTTCCTACAACATGAGAGAAGTAAAGCCTATATATATAATTAAGTGAAGAGTCATTACAATTTACAATAAAATAAAATTATCCATCAACAGTGTTACGTAGTTTATAATTCAATCTTGTCTCTTTGAGACAAAGACTACAGTATAAAGTTTTTTTGGGAGCATCTATTGGATCTCTAACCCCGTAAGTTAAATTCTCTTAAGATCTTAATACATCCTAATTCCTAATTACGAATGGATACTTTCATATATTAGTTAAGATGATCAATCTCATATAGAAGATCCTAATTTTTCATGGATAAATTAATAGTAATAAGAATGAGAAAAAAGAAAATATTAAAATATTAAAATAAGAAATAACTATATCATCACCCTTAATTTACCCATAAATAATTAATATCATATTATATTATAAGAAAATAATAGTCTCATGTTACATAAAAAAATTATCTTTTATCACACACCCATAAAATTTCGGGTTAATTTTTTTTTAAATTGTGAATTCTAAATATTTGTTTTATCCACATAAAAATACAATAGCGTGTAACATGAAATTAGTAAACTCATTTATTATATTACACATTCCCTCCCAAACTTCTCAGTAACCCCAAACCTAATTGAAAACAGAAAACGGTTTCAGCGTAGCATTCTGTTATTTAAACCTCTTTTTTTTAATTTTACTTTTTTACCCAACTCGTCAAGGTTGACGTTGACGCACGTTGAATCGGAGCAGCAAGTGGGTCTCACTCTCTCTCTCTCTCTCTCTCTCCTAAAACCCAAAGGTAACACAATCTGCAGATTCGTTTTGATAAAAGTAGTTGCAATGGAATTTGACGGTGTTATCTTCTCACCCAACTCCGTTATCGTTAACCGACACTTCCATCGCCATGGATCCCTTGATCCGCAAGCTCCGGCGCCAGCTCCTCGCATGGCTTCACCGATCTCGTTCCGGTATCTCATTAACCATTCTACAATTCAGTCTTATTTAACTTTAATTCAGTGTTTTTATTGTTGCGATTCGAAATTGGGATGGTTTAATTGCTATTTCAGCGAATGTCAAGTGTTTAACTAAAGTGAACAAACAGAACACTCAAAAGTTTTCAATCGCTTCAGTAGTTCACTGTAAATTCTAAAAGCTTTTTCAATTAGTGTTTATTTTTATTTTAATAATAGTTGCTTCCTGTAATTGAATGCTTGATGGGCGCTTTTTAATGGCTCGAATTCAATTTCAATGAATGAATGTGTTTGAATTGTTATTGTTCACTGTTCAGGTCAGGTATTTTTTGTGAGGAGAATTTCGTACAAGGATGTTAGAAAGGCGACAGATGGTTTCCAAAGAATCGTTTATAGCGATTCTGAGGTTTCTGCATATGCTGCGAAATTCGGAGAGGGTGGTGGTGTTTGCTTGGTGAAAGAAGTAAAAGATTTTGATCTAAGCAATGGCAATTTCCATAGACAAGTGCAATTTTTGGGGCGCTTGCATCATCGTCACCTTCTCTCACTCAAAGGGTTTTCTGGGGGACATAATCACAAGAGGTTGGGCGCCTAAAACTAGAGTAACTTGTGTTTCACTTTTTTTCATTTTTCAATTTTCTTGTTTAATTGGTCTCCCTGTATGAGAATTTCCGTTGTTAAAATTGATAATGATCACATAAAACCCGTATGTGAACCATGAGCCCTTGTTATTACTTAAATGGCTTGTAAGAATGTAATATAGGTATTTCTATCTTTCAAGCAAGATGAGAAACATATTTATTCATCTCTTTGAGATGGGATGGTATTCTTTTGGACGTGGACCATTATTACAATTAGGGTGTCCTTGGTATAGGTATAGATAAGTCTTGCCATTGTATAACTTTTTTCCCTTTTGGGTTATTTCTGCAGACTGCTCATATTTGACAACATAGAAAATGGAAGCTTAAAGGAGCATCTCAATGGTAAATTTTAAAAAAATAAACGATAGTTTAGAGGAGCATCTTAATGATGGTTGCACTGTTTGATTTTGTTTCAATGATTTGATGCTGGCAGACCCTTTAAAGACTCCCTTAAATTGGAGGACGAGGTTACAGATTGCTAATGGTGTTGTGGCTGCACTGGTAATAAGCCTCTTCAAATTAAAGCATGTCCAGAACCAAAAATGCCTGATATTTTCAGCTTGAAACTGCACTCTTTTTTTTTTTTTTTTTCTATTGCACTTAATTTTAAGAACCTGAAATTTTAATGTCTCGTTGAGTTTCCTAAATTGATTATGAAATCCATGCTAAATTAGTACTGTTTAATACCTGTTAGTGTTCTGCCCGTGTCAGAAAGAGAAATTGCTTGGCAAATACGGCAAAATGATATTGGAAACTAGGCTACTTGGTTCCATGGACGAGGGTAGAAGTTAACTTCGTGTATTCAATTTGCTGTTAGTGTCATTTAGAAGTTAATGTTTTCCCTACTGAAAATATGACTTGGTACGGGAAGACGAAATTGTTGGCAAAAAGCATTGAGATTCCAACAATAATAAGTACCATTTAATTTGCTCGATGACAAACAACAATTTACATATTTAGCTACAAGATATATTTTCACATGATTTGGCTAGTATTCAAGTGGTTTATTTTGGGTGATATGAGGGTAGAAATATGAAGCAGTTTACTATGATGTTATAGCGTGGAATTGTAAGAGTGTGTTCTGATACCCACGCGATTTAAAATTATATGAACCATCAGTAGAAGCTACAAAAATTTTCAAGCATGGTCATCTGATATATCCCAATACTTACATATGTTGACTCTGGATGCAGGAATACTTGTTTCGCTTCAGTGAACCACCAGTATGTAATGTCTCTATCAGCTCAAGCAATATCATGTTAGATGAGAACTTCACAGCTAAAGTAAGGAACTAGTTCCCTTTCTCGCTGTAAATTCTCACCTTTTGGCTGAATTAATATATATCATATCTGATTGACATGCCGAAGACAAATAAAGCAATCTAATTTAGAAATAGTATTAAACGAGATTTCCTTCCATAATTTCAGCTATCCGACTTTGGCCTTTTTACTTCTGGTGGAAATTCTGTTATGATGCCATATTCAGAAGGTCTCTTCTCTTTGTAAACTACTCTTACAACAAAAAACAAAATTGAAGTACTTCCTCTTAATTACTTTGCGATTTATGTGCTCACCAGCCTCGTCCATTTCAGATTGCATGAGGCAGAAAGGTTGCAAGATTATATTCCAACTTGGAGTGGTCATACTGGAATTGGTCACCGGTCAGTCTTCAGAGATGGAAGGATCTGATTTGATTGAATGGATCCAAGAAGCCCGATTCTACAGTTCCATAGATAAGATGATAGACCCTGATCTTGGAAACAATTATGATTGTACGGAGCTTAAAAGTCTTCTAGCTGTGGCAAAATTATGTATCAAATCATGGGACAAGCCTTCGTTTACAATTCCTCAGTTATTTCGGTATGTCCAAAAGAAGATTGACATTCCCCATGACTAGGTCCGTTTATTTGTTTTCTTTGAAAAACCTTGGGCTTCATGGGAGAATATTTGGCACCCCCTTGTGTGAATGCTTTCACGTTTCTTGCCTCTTGGAGAGTCGGTTTTGTTAACTGCCGTGATGCTCATATTTGAAATTGAATGAAGAATATGATATAAAAGTTAACAATTAGTAGTAGAATTCCGAGTGATAAAAGAAGAATGTCGAATAGAAAACCCCACACTCTTCAGATAAATACTTCATTGATGTAGCAAGAATAAATATCCTTTCTTTGTTGTAATCTCCTTGAGGCGCAGTTGTCCATGTTCAGGAAACAACAAAAAGCCTAGAATTTGTAAGTAGCACACAGGCGAAACGTTAGCAATGTAAACAAGAACTTTCTGTTGCATCACCATCACAGGAATGGATTACGTAGCTTAGGGAGTAGAATCTAGTGTTGGGTTTAAACTTTAATAAATAAAGTAATTAAAAAATAGGAAATGAAGGGTTTATGTTATGAAGAGGTGTGTCCCTAGGAATTTGTTAGTGGACAATTATTATGCTTAGAGTTTGGTGAAGAGGTGTGTCCCTAGGAATTTGTTAGTGGACAATTATTTAATGTTAGAGTTACTAGGTAACCTTTTAATTGTTTTAGTCATTTGCTATTGCTTATAAATAGCACTATGTAAACCATTTGAAGATGAACTTGGCATATACAGTAATAGAAAGAGGTATTGATTAGAGAAAAATAACTCCTCATGTGTAAATTTGTGTGTTTGAGTGTTTGAGAGAAACACCATTAGAGGACCTGTGAATTACAAATTGGTATCAGAGCTTGAACCAATGGAGAGGAATAGTCTGTCAGTGCCCCGTCTGACAAAGACGAATTATGAAAATTGGAGCATCCAAATGAAAGTTCTTCTAAGAGCCCATGATAGTTGAGAATTGGTGCAAGATGGGTTCGTAGAACCAGAATCGACAGTAGGATATTCAGCGAATCAAATCAGACAGTTGAAGGCATCAAAGACAAAGCATGCAGCGGCACTTTGTATAATGTTTCAAGCTGTTGAAGAAATTGGTGGCCTTGAGAAGATAGGAGGGGCGACAACAGCAAAGGAGGCTTGTGATATTTTGGAGACGGTTTACAAAGGAGCTGATCGTGTGAAGCAGGTCAGACTTCAAACTCTATGAGGAGAGTTGGAAGGCATGAAAATGAAGGAGACCGAAGGAGTGTCAGATTTTATCACCCGGATTCATACCGTGGTAAATCAGCTAAAGCGGAATGGAGAGGCCCTGCCAGACTCCAGAGTGGTGGAGAAGATTTTGAGATCGTTAACAGACGACTTTGAAAATGTGGTGTGTGCGATTGAAGAATCTAAGGACTTGTGTACGCTCTCTGTTGATGAGCTAGCAGGTTCTCTTGAGGCGCATGAACAACGCAAGAAAAAGAAGAAGGAAGAGACACTGGAGCAAGCACTCCAGTCAAAAGCAAATATCAAGGAAGAAAAGGCGCTCTACTCTCAGAATGCCCGAGGTAGAGGTCGTGGAAGAAATGGACGAAGGAATGGCCGAGGTGGTCGTGGCTGAGGTCAGGAGACAAGACATGAGGAGAAAGCTGAGTCTAGTCATCAAAATTGGAGAGGTAGAGGACGAGTCCGAGGTGGAAGAGGTCGATGGACAAACCAATCAAACGTGAAATGCTACAAATGTGGGAAGTATGGACATTACTCAAGAGATTGCAACTCGGACAGATGCTATAACTGTAGCCGAGTTGGGAATTTTGCTAAAGATTGCCGTGATGAGAAAAAGTTTGACGAGACTTCAAACTTCGCTGCAGAAGGAGAAGCAAGAGATGGAGGAGTTCTAATGCTAACCCATGGTGAAACAAGTTCAAAGAATGAGACAGAGTGGTACCTGAACTCTGGTGCCAGTAACCACATGTGTGGTCACAAACATTTATTTAAAGAATTAAGAACGTTGGAAGAAAAGCATGTGTCTTTCGAAGATGCATCGAAGATATATGTAAAAGGTCGAGGTACAATCTGTTTCTTGCAAAAGGACAGACAAGTTGGTACAATTCGGGACGTGTATTACGTGCCTGAACTCAAAAGCAATATTCTGAGCATTGGACAGTTGATGGAAAAGGGCTACTCGATTTTTATGACAAAGCGAGTTCTGTTGTTGAAAGACAAACAAGAGCGTCTGATAGCCCGATTCAGATGGAGAAGAATAGAATGTATAAGTTGTGCTTGAGCATCTTGCAGGACGGCTGTTTGCAAGCCGGAATCGAGGATAAGATGAAATTGTGGCATAAACGATTTGGACACTTTCATTATGGTGGTCTGACCGAGATGAGGAAGAAAAACATGGTAGTGGGACTACCAAAGATTAACTCTGAAGGAAAATTTTGTGAGGACTGCGTATTGGGAAAACATGTGAGGAGCCCGTTCCAAAGGATGGCGAGATACCGGACTAGGCAGCCTCTTGATTTGATCCATACCGACCTGTGTGTGTAACATCCCAAGAGCTGGCAAGGGCAGGGAGTGATCGCCGGTGCGAAAGGGCACGGACAATGAGTGACTCATGCCAAATCTTGCAGCTTGGGGGTTCATGAATGAATCGAATCAACACCCGAAAGAGAGGGATTCCAGAGACTGTGCTGGTATGGGACGGTACAGTTAGGAATGACTTATAAGAATTAATTGGTACTACCTATACTAACAAGATGCATCTACTTTTCGGTAGCCCGGATCGGGAGAACTCCACAGTTAAGCGTGCTTGACTTGGAGAAATTCTGGGATGGGTGACCTCCTGGGAAGTTTTCCCGGGAAGTGTGCGAGTGAGGACAAAGCACACTGAAAAGTCTCGTGTTAGTGTGTGGGGACAGTCATTGATTCTTGCAAGTGGCCGGGCGTTACAAGTGGCCTCTCTTCCAGTACGGTGTGGTTCGAGGACGAACCAGGCGGAAGCTGGTGGGCATGTAACATCCCAAGAGCTGGCAAGGGCAGGGAGTGATCGCCGGTGCGAAAGGGCACGGACAATGAGCGGCTCATGCCAAATCTTGCATCTTAGGGGTTCATGAATGAATCGAATCAACACCTGAAAGAGAGAGATTCCAGAGACTGTGCTGGTATGGGACGGTACAGTTAGGAATGACTTATAAGAATTAATTGGTACTACCTATACTAACAAGATGCATCTACTTTTCGGTAGCCCGGATCGGGAGTACTCCACAGTTAAGCGTGCTTGACTTGGAGCAATTCTGGGATGGGTGACCTCCTGAAAAGTTTTCCCGGGAAGTGTGCGAGTGAGGACAAAGCACACTGAAAAGTCTCGTGTTAGTGTGTGGGGACAGTCATTGATTCTTGCAAGTGGTCGGGCGTTACAGTGTGGACCCATTACTCCGGGGTGCTTCAGTGGTAAGAAGTATTTTGTAACTTTTATTGATGATTTTAGTCGAAAGACTTGGGTGTATTTTCTGAAGGAAAAATCCGAGGTGCTAAAGGCATTTAAAAGGTTTACAGTAATGATAGAGAATGGTACTGGGAGGTACATCAAATCGGTCCGTTCAGACCGAGGTGGGGAGTACGTGTCGACAGCTTTCAAGAAGTATTGTGAAGAACATGGGATAAGGCGGTTCCTGACCGCACCGTACTCGCCCCAGCAGAACGGAGTAGCTGAGAGAAAGAACCGGACTATCCTGGATATGGTCCGATCCATGTTGAAGACAAAGAACATGCTGAAAGAGTTCTGGGGAGAGGCCGTACAATGTGCAGTGTACGTGCAGAACAGATGTGCACATTCAAGTTTGAATGACAAGACTTCGCAGGAAGCATGGAGTGGTTTGAAGACCTCAGTGGGTCACTTTAAAGTCTTTGGGAGTGTTGTGTATGCACACATACCGAATCAGTTGAGGACAAAGCTAGAAGATAAAAGCAAGAAGTTTGTGCTCATTGGTTATGATGAGAAGACTAAGGGATATAAGTTGCTGGATCCTGTCAATAGAAAAGTACTGGTTAGCCGGGATGTGAAGGTGAATGAAGAAGATGCTTGGGACTGGAGTAGTCCATCTGAGGTGAATGTTGAACCCGGGAAAATGACAATTAAGGTCGGACAACCCTCGACCCGCATTCCAAAAAATCCAAATGATTCTGATAGTGAAGGAGAGTTGAGACAACCAAGGTTGAGGAGTCTACAAGATCTGTATGATTCCACCAGTGAAGCACACTTGGTATGTTTGTTGGCAGATTCTGAAGAAGTGAGTTTTGAAGAAGCAATTCGAGATGAGAAATGGCAATCAGCCATGGAGGAGGAGATTAAAGCAATAGAAAAGAACAAGACGTGGGAGTTAGCCGAACTGCCCAAAGGAAATCGGCCTATTGGTATGAAATGGGTGTACAAGAAGAAAATGAACGCTAAGGGGGAGATCGAAAGATATAAAGCCCGGCTGGTAGCGAAAGGGTATAAGCAGAGGGCCGGCATTGACTATGACGAGGTGTTCGCGCCCGTAGCAAGAATGGAGACAATCAAGCTGTTAATTTCTTAAACAGCCCAGTTCGGATGGCCGATCTATCAGATGGACGTGAAGTCGGCATTCTTAAATGGAGTACTCGAGGAGAAGGTGTATCTGGAACAACCTCCAAGATTAATGAAATCTGGACAAGAAAGAAAAGTGTTGAGACTGAAGAAAGCTTTGTATGGGTTGAAGCAGGCCCTAAGAGCCTGGAACACGAGAATTGACAATTACTTCAAGAAGGATGGACTTGAACAATGTCCGTATCAACACGCACTCTACGTAAAGAAGAAAGCAAGTAAAATTCTACTTGTTGCTCTATATGTTGATGATCTGATTTTCTTGGGTAATGATGAAGGAATGATTCAAGATTTTAAGAAGAAAATGATGAAGGAGTTCGAGATGACGGATCTCGGTCTGATGAGATACTTTCTTGGTTTGGAGGTTAGACAAGATGATTCTGGGATCTTCGTCTCTCAGGATATCTATGCAAAAGGAATTTTGGAGAAGTTCAAAATGAGTGATTGCAACCCGGTTTCAACCCACATGGAACCCGACGTTAAACTTTCAAGATATGATGGAGGAGAAAAGGTAGATCTGAGTGTTTATCGTAGTCTAGTTGGAAGTCTGAGGTACTTGACGTGTACGAGGCCGGATCTGTGTCTGAGTGTTGGAATAATAAGCCGATTTATAGAAGAGCCGAAGTATACTCATTGGAAAGCGGCAAAGAGAATTCTAAGATATGTGAAAGGAACAATTTCTCAAGGACTTCTTTACTCGAAGTCAAACAAGTACAAGCTGACAGGCTACTCGGATAGTGATTGTTGCAGAGATGTGGATGACAGAAAAAGCACGGCTTGCTATGTATTTTTTATAAGGAATACGATGTTTACTTGGGTATCGAAGAAGGAACCCATTGTAACTCTATCTACATGCGAAGCCAAGTACGTAGTTGTTTCGTGGTGTGTGTGCCATGCAATTTGGCTGAGAAATTTATTGAGCAAGTTGGAGCAAGAGCAAGTCGATTCAACTGAAACCGAGTTGACAACAAATCAGTGATCGAGTTAGCAAAGAACCCGGTCAACCATGAAAGAAACATGCATATTGATGTCAGATTTCATTTCATCCGGGGTCAAGTCAAAGAAGGAAAGGTGGAGCTCAGTTATGTGGCAAGCCAAGATCAAGTTGGAGATATTTTCACGAAGCCCCTGTCGACGTTGTTGTTTGAGAATTGCAAGAAGAAGATGGGAATTAAGGACAGTAGAGATATTAAAGTTTAAGGGGGAGTTTTGTTGGGTTTAAATTTTAATAAATAAAGTAATTAAAAAATAGGAAATGAAGGGTTTATGTTATGAAAAGGTGTGTCCCTAGGAATTTGTTAGTGGACAATTATTATGCTTAGAGTTTGGTGAAGAGGTGTGTTCTTAGGAATTTGTTAGTGGACAATTATTTAATGTTAGAGTTACTAGGTAACCTTTTAATTGTTTTAGTCATTTGTTATTGCTTATAAATAGCACTATGTAAACCATTTGAAGATGGACTTGGCATATACAGTAATAGAAAGAGGTATTGATCAGAGAAAAAGAACTCCTCGTGTGTAAATTTGTGTGTTTGAGTGTTTGAGAGAAACACCATTAGAGGACCTGTGAATTACATCTAGCAGGTTGACGACGTAACTTTTGCGAGCTTCTTTTTTATGCTTGTCGAATAGCCATCGAAGGTGTTCTATGACTATTACATTATTGTTGACTTTCACAGTTCCTATTTCGTTATTGCCAATAGCGGACCTAGGTGATTGCATGTGTTTGCACTTGTAGACACAAAAATTGGGAGGGGGGAGGGGAGTTTCATATGGGATGTGTAATTCATGCCAAGTAAAAAAAAAAAAAAGGAAGATTGAAAAGAAAAAGGTAAAGATAGGCCCAACCCCTACAATTAAAAGCTTAAAGCTCAAACTCTAGTCCATTGCTTTGTCTTTTTTTATATATATATAAATCTTATTAACTCCAAATCTTAATATACATCAATTGTTCTTAAAATTCAATCTTCATCGGAGGAGAATCGCACGGGATTTTCACCTCTCTTTTTTGTGAAACAAAAGTGGCCAATTTTGGATCAAATTGACTTGGATTTTTGGTCGATTAACCCCTGCAATTATACTATATTTTACAAATGTCTTTTTCTGATGTTTATTTAATTTTTTAATTATCATTATTGATTAATTCCTTAAAACTTTGGTTAATTCACCAAAATTTTACTTTTGAAGTGGAAGAAAAAATTGAATCATGATCATGATCTTTAAAAGAAATTTGGAGACAGCGCCCTCGAACCCCAACCCTAAGTGTGCAAACATAAGAAAAAAATTCTGGATCTGCCACTGTTATTGCCTTGCTCAATACAGAACCCATGTTACTTCTCTTGCATTTCTAAAACTAAAAACCATACAGATTTGAGCTGTCAAAATTACTCCAACCGAGTGGGCCAGCCCCAAACCCGATTTGCCCTAACCCACATAATGCATCTTGTTGATTTATTTATTTTTTAGCCATGACCACAAATTGAGTAAGTGGTCATAATTATTTTATCTCAAAACACATTAATATGAGTTTAATATTTTTCATGTTGTACGAGATAAAAGTGTGAAGCCATGTGAAGAGGAGAGAAAAAAAAAATTTCACATTTTTATACGTGTAGGAAATAAAATTATCACTTACAACATAAAAAATATTAATCTCTTAATATATATATATATATATATATATATATATATAAATCATGTTAGAGCTCAAATGAAGCATAAATAATAGAATATATTTAAATTAGTAAAATAGAGCATAAATATTAATAAATGTGGATAATATTAAAAAAAATTATATAGGACTCAAAAAACAAGGAACTGATCATTTATTTGAATGCATAAAATCTATAATCAATACACTCCGAATTTAATATTAAATTTTTTTATCTTAATAGCATTGACAAAAAATAAAACGCTGATACCACATTCATTAGCTTCTCTTAATTTTTTCAAAAAATAAAAATTCCCAAATCAATTTTACTTTGATTTAGTTGTTGTGTTTAGTGGTAATTTTGTTTTACATTCTTTGCTATGAAAATATAATTAAAGCCGTAGCTCTCGGGGTATTATGGAGCTTTCAGGGTTTAGGATTCCGGACTCAAGCATCTTAAAAACAAGATAACAAGGATGATAAAAACAGGGTACGAGTATACGACAATTAAATTTGGCCATCCAACTATTTTTATACTTCCAAAAAGCCTTGCATGTTGACAACTCGACTTCGGCTCGGTCAATGGCCATCGAAATCGAAGGTTAACATGACTGTTGCATTATTGCTGACTTCCTCTTTTAATATAATAATACGCAGAGTTACATACGACAAACGTGCTACTTCGTTTTTCAATCAAGCAAGACAGTTTATGTCCTACGCCGAGCATGAAATTTAAATTCATCCGCATATTTTATTAAAATCTAAGTTGTGTTAAGCATGATTTTAGATCCCAATTTATAATTTGAAACGTAAAAATAAAACAAGAATTACCAGTTTCAAAAAAATCTTGCTATCAGTATTTAGAAATATAATTTGTTTTAGTTAAAACAAAATTTAAACAAATTGCTTAGATGTATCAGTGACTGCGTAAAAATTGGCGATAAACAAGCAGGTCACGAAGAAGAAGAAAAATTAAAGTATTTAGGATGTCTGAACGGAAAAAATCCCTTCAACAATAAATGCTACACTGTTTGCTTTATCAGAATCATATGATCAAACACTAATTGAGTCCTCACACACGGCTAAGAGTATCATGATCATCACCACAGGTTATACTACCGCTCCAGAAGTCCTTACTGTTGGGCGCACTGTACCCTCTGAGCACCACCGTGCATATCCTCGTCCTCATCATATGCCTCTTGCTGAGCTTGCTGCCTCCTCCTTGTCTCTTCCTCCATATTGACATCATGAAGTGTAGTCTCCTCACACTCGTCCAGCTCCATGTCTGTCAACTGTGATGAAGGCTTTGGTGGCAGAACAGCCTCTAAAGCCTTGACCTGATCAGGACTCAGGGAATCAGGAAATTCCACAGAGAAATGAATGTAAAGCTTGCCCTTCATGAAGGGCCTCTGGTACATTGGCATCCCCTCATCATTTATTGCCTTGAATGAATCTACAGGCAAGCAAACGATTGAAAAGTTATAATAGAATACCGAAATTTCAATCGCCCTGTAAAATTGAGACACAGGCAAACAACATGTGAACAATCTTACATACCAGGCTTAACAACTTCTCCAGGGTTTGATTTGATAAGGAGTTGCCGGCCATCCAAGTGAGTCAGAACAAACTGGAAGCCACACAGAGCCTCAGTGAGGGACAGGGTATGCTCCACAAAAAGGTCTTCAGCCTTTCTTTTGAACTTAGGGTGTTCTTTCTGCTGCAGCACAAAGACGATATCCCCAGTGATTGTATCGGGCTGCAAAACACAAAAGCACAAAGTCAGTCTAAATTCGGTAATCCAGCTCAATGTCAATACTCAGTAACACTGATCCTCAACATACCGCTTCATCAGCTTCACCAGGGAATGTGATCTTCTGTCCATTCTGCATTCCCTTCTCCACAATAACTTCAAGCACTTTCTTCTCTTGGACAACCTTCTCTCCCTTGCACTGTGTGCATCGGTCTCTGTCACTGATAGTCTCTCCAGTACCCTTGCATTCATTGCAAGCATGCTGCATTTGCTGAATCATAGAGGGGCCGAGGTGCCTAATAGAAACCTTCATACCAGTACCTTGACAACCAGAACACTTCATGGAAGCCCCAGACTTTGACCCCTTCCTGTAACCAATTTCCGTACAAACAACCCATTAGTAATGTAAGAAATCCTGCTATTGAAAAAGAGCAACAAGCATTCAATCAAGAAAAATCTAATTGGATGATACCTACCCGTTGCATTTTGAGCACAAGACATTTCGTGAAAGAGAGAGCTTCTTTGATGTCCCAAGGTAAAGGTCCTCCAGAGAGACCTTCAGGGGGTGAACCACATCTTCACCCCGCCTCTGCCTCCTTGCTCTACTGCTACCACCTGTTCCACAGATTCAATAGTTCCATTTAAGACAAACAATTCAATTATTGGTTGAAGAATTCCCTAATAAAAATAAAAATAAAAATAAAAAAGGAAAAATAGCGCCATACCCGATCCAAATGGACTTCCACCAAAGAATGACTGAAAGATATCAAATGGGTCATGGCCACCGCCACCACCACCCATTCCTTCCTTAAGAGCATCTTCACCATACTGATCATATATCTCACGCTTCTCAGGATCCATCAGAACCTCATAGGCTTGAGCCAGCTCTTTGAACTACAGCAAAAAGCACACACACACGCGTCAGGCCTCGTTTCACTTGCTTTTGCAATCTATGACGGGAATTAGCCACTAATCAAATTGTTAACAACACAAATTATCATAACCCCAACCCATCAATAAACCAACGCAGACGATCTCTAACTCCGTTATCTCATTTCCTCCACTTTTATTAGCATATCGTAAATTAATCAACCCAACGCTAAGTACTATATAAATTAATTGAACACAACTCGTAAACATCGAATCGGATCATCGGCATCTATACACTAATCAACAACCAGGTTACTTCCAAAAATTAATCAGATAAAACAATCGGAATCTGATTTGATTGGAAACAAAGCAAAACGTTCAGAATTAAAAATTTACCTTCTCAGGATCACCGCCCTTGTCAGGGTGATTCTTGATGGCGGCTTTCTTGTAAGCCTTCTTCAAATCATCCTGAGAAGCGTTCTTCGAAACGCCAAGGATTTCGTAGTACCTGGTGTTGTCGCTTTTCTTCGGTGCTCTTCCAAACATCTTCTTCTACTCGCTCTGATCACAACCAACAATTAACCACAAAAAACACGAATCAGATCGAAACCAAACCCTAACTTTTACCAAGATCTGCAAGTCCTAACTGAACTAGATCTCAACGAGGTGCAGATGAGGAAGCTCTACGCCAGGGTAATTCTCTTTATCATGTATATATAGGGGAACTTGATTTAATGGACGGCTAGGATCGAACGTTAAAATTTATTAGGTCACGCAGAAGGGTCTAGAATTATTTCTGAACCAAGCTTTTGAGAGAAAGCGTGGACCGTTGGATCTGAACGTTTGATCTGCGATTTTCTTCCAGATCCTTCCGAGCAAGCTTCAGCAAAATCTCTTGATTTTTATTTCTTATTTTTGGGAAAAAAATTTCTGATATTACTTTAGACAATTTTAGCTAATGTTCATTAATTTGACGTCGTTTTAGAGTTAAAAATTAAAAAATTAGAATGAACACTATGATTTCAGTCCCAAAACGATGTCGTTTCAATGAACATTAGATAAAGTTATCTAAAGTAACTTTAGAAAAAACAAACTCTTTATTTTTTTATGGTACGGAGAAAGATATTGTAACAACTAATTAGTGTTATTATCAATCAATTTTACTATTAGATTGATTATGTTGATTTAACGGTTATATTTATTTTCATCTTTATATAGTTATGATTCTCCATATTTAATACTTTATATTTATTTCTACCTTTATGTGGTTATGATTTTTCATATTTAATGTTTTACATTAAATATGAAGAATCATAATCATATAAAAATGAAAATAAATATAATCATTGGATCAACACAATCAATCTAAGAGTGAAATTAATTAGTAATAATATTAATAATAACATTAATTGATTGTTACAATATGATATCTCTTAATTTAATAAGTGAAAGAGAACAAAATGAAAGCAATAATTAAATTAAATATTTTGTCCCACTTCTTGGCGCGCCAGCTTTGACTTCTTCTGTATGGTAACTTTCAATTTATTCGATTTTTCTGAATTTTTACTATGAACTTAGAGGTTTGCATTTTTTATTTAACATTATATAATAAATTTTTTTCTACACATAATATTTTGTGGGTCCATATTTTTTGAAAAAAAAAATTACGGCACGCAAAACGAATCTCTATAACATTACACAATTATTTTTCCTACAACATAACTCTTACAAAACCCATTAACTTATTATCACTTTAATTACTGTTAGATTTCATTTTTTTAGACAATAATTTCTTTAAAAAATTTAAGAAGAGATAAAAGAAAAAAAAATAGTATAGTTCTCAAATATACTGTTATATTAAAATAATAGTATATTGGTAGTAAAAAAAATTATAATAAGAATATCTTTACTCATATTTTTTTTACCACTTCAGTAAAAAAATAGGGACTTATAAGTCTAGAGATATGATACATATCTTTATTGGTGAATTATAAGTCCCTATTTTTTACATTTTATGCTTATTTCCTAATTTTAGAGTATTTATTCTATTTGGTATAAATATGGACTAAGGATTTTGTCTTTTGTATGTATCATATCATGATAATATGCCATATTATTATATTTATTACGGATTACATATTGCATTATTAATGAAGTTCTCGCATCCATGAGCATTTTTATGGGGTATAAATTAATCTTTACCCAATTATATCCACCTTTATTGGCAACCAGAGACTTGAAAGACAATTTTTATGTCGCATAATCTTAGTTTTAATGAGGTTTTTGTACAAACTCACTTCGAATGAACCTTGCAACTTTGGTTGTTTTTGTAAAACAATCCATTAATGATTTTACATATTATATTTTTCTAAAGGGGTGTTTGGTAGGAGGTTTTGGCAAGGATACCTAGGCAACTTAAAGTGGGTTTTCAATTTGCCCAAGTTTGGTACAAGAGTTACAAAAATTTGGATAGCAAAATCCTTTCCCATCCAACTTGATTTCAATGCAATTTTTTTTGGTTTGCACTGTTTCAAAAACCCATGTTGAGGGTTGTATTTTGGGGGTTTGATGAGAAAAGTAAAAATTGAGTATGTATTTTAAATTTTAGCAAAGTAAAAATTGAGTATGTATTTTAAATTTTAGCAAAGTAAAAATTGTTGAAACAATGACACTAATTAAGCTGGCTTTTACAAACTGTCATTTTAGACAAGGGTTGATCAGATTCAAAAAATAAAAAAGGTTAATTTTCTAATTTCAACTTATTTTTCTATCTATATTTTACTTTCAACCAAACATGGAATTCAAAAATTTAAATCAATTTCCCTGGTAATATTTTGGTCTACCAAACAACTTTTTTAAAATTTCCCCACTAATTTGAGTTTACAACCATTTTCCCACTATTTATATTTACCTGGTTAAAAAAAATTTCTCCTCTACCAAACGCCCCCTAATAGATTTTCTTGTATAAGAGTTTACTAGATTTTAAGAGGGAACAATGTATAAAATTCATCTATTTATGCTAAAAAATACCATAGTATTTAAAATTCTTATTAACAAATTAAGGCCAAAAAGAATTGAACCCGTAATAAGCTAATGATAGGAGGTCCATAGTACCATGTAAAAAAAAAATTAAACTTATAAATAAGGGAAAACCTAGTATTATGTAACATGATGTAAAAAAATTTACCTACTGACCCATTGGTTTTCCCACCAGCATTTTTTATTTTTTTTGTTTTTATTACATGTATGGGACCCACATACATTTTTGTTTGAATAGGAAAAATTGTTTAGATCATGTTACATGATGGTAACTTTACCCTATAAATAATGATTACATTAATAATTATATATATTATATCTCTAAAAAGTCCTTGCATTTTCTAGCATTGAATGATATTATAGATGGTTTGGGGATTCGATATCTTTAGACTCTTATCTCTTTTGGAATTAAAAACAAATAGAAATACGTAATGCACTGTTAGTGGTAGTATTAATTATTAGAATACTTAAAACTAATAAGGAAAAATAAATAAGTCTTTCTATAAAATAAATAAATAAAAGTATTGAATTTAATTTAATTATTGTTTTTTAGGAATAGTTAGTGTTATTGAGTTTGAGTTTTTCTTTTTAATAACATTTGTCGATATTCTGTGATGTAAGGAATGATTTTACTACAGGTTTCAAAAATCTAGTGGTGAATTTTAAGGGGGCGTTTGGTACCCGTCTTATTTTGCAATCCCCGGAAATGCTTTCTTTGACAAGACTGAATCCTGCGTTTGGTATAATTAAAACGAAACAAATCCAGACCGACAAGTTTTCCCGAGAAAATTTAGCATGTGTGATGTACAGTACAAATTGCTTTGATGAAAGTCCTTCCAGAAGATGGTTCCATTTTGTTCCCGGGATAATATATTTTTAGGCGCGAAATAATTGACCCAATTACCCCTCATATTTGTACGATATGTGTCATATGACAAGGAAGCTTTGCTACTTTCACTTCTTCGCGTAATAAAAGCAGAGCTTCACCACCGTCGAAGCTTGTACACTCAGCGGACTACACATCAGAAGGTAAATTGGTGGAAATTTCACATTTCGAACACATGCATGTAGCATTCGTTGAGGATCGAAGTGTTTAACATATTTTGTTTTTTAATTTTTTTTTTAAAACAGGTTTGTGTTATCGGTTTGGAGGAAGGCTGTTGTTTAAGAGTGGTAGGAACAGTTGTGGAACTTCCAAGGGTAAGTCTCCCATTTACGAGCTTCTCTTTTTATGTGGGTTCCATTTTCACTTTGCTTTTAACAGTGGAAATAGGGGGTTGTGCATCTGTATTTGTTAAGACATTCATTTCTCCTCATTTGATGTGCTTATAGCATCCGTATGTGTTGGTTTGGTTTGGTTGGTATGGTCTGTGTGTTGTTCCCGTGCTTGGTATGGCCCTATGTTTTCAACCTGTCATGTCTTCTTGATAGCATTCATCACAGTGGCACAATCTGTTCCCTTCATGCAATGCACGGGTTTCCTTATTTGTTTTTCTTCGTGAAGGTCTATATATTATTTTTAGCAAACAAAAAATTTAGCATGTGTATGTCAGAAGTGGTGGACAATGAGATAATGGATTTACTTACTAATGAACTACCAAGAATAATTATGACACTCTGTTTAGCTTTTTTCCCAGCCTTTTGTTTTCAATATATCTAATTTTTATTCTTATTTTGTAAAATTTACAAATCATCCTTTTGTCTTAAGATTAGCATAATGTTTTGTGGTAGTTGACACTTCTCAAGACCCCTTTCAAACAATCTGCCTCATTCTTTATTCAAAGTGAAAAATGTTGGTGTGAAGTATATATAGTCATATTCAATAACATATAGTCAGTCAAAGGAACTTCCATCAGATCTTTAATTTATTATGCATGATATTATATACACGGTGGTAAGATGGATTCAATAAAATTGTACCCAATGTTTCTGTATGATTCATAAAAGCAAAACGTGTAAAGCTTAAGATAGTGTGAAATTTGCCTTTGAGTGCATAAGTCTAAAACTATATTTACAGGTCATTGGCAGTGATGTCAGGAGTGGTTCTGTACACTGACCTTGACAAAATTGTAGTTCTTGAAAGCTCCTCCGCATGTCATTTTGTTATTTTTTTGTTTACTTACGTTGTGGATATTTCGAGTAATGTGAATTAAATTCTACCTTCTTATGTTAGATCATGGCAATGAACAACGAAATGGAGTTGAGTGTCATTGTTGTTCTCATTTGTCATTTGCAGTCTTTGAATAAGTTGACTTTGGTCTTATTGAGAGTTTACGGTTTGCTATTAGCTGAAAGTGAAAAAAGGAAAAATTCAAGAAGGAGAGTGACATGGAATAATTGCGATAGGGTTCCTATCAGAGAAGTCAATCTACATAGAATAGTGTATTTTAGTGACACAGCTTGTATTGAGAATACAAGGATGGATAGGAGATTTTTTCATGCATTGTGTGAATTAGTTAAAACTGTTGGCATGCTTGAACCGACGAAGCATATGGCTGTAGAAGAGATGGTTGCAATCTTTCTTCACATTTTGGCTCACGATGTTAAAAATCGAGTTATTAAAAGACAGTTTATGCGGTCTAGTGAAACAATAAGCCGACAGTTCTCAAAGGTGTTGCTGGCTGTGTTAAGATGTCATCAGGT